GTGGTGGCGCACGCCTTTAATCCCAGCACTTGGGAGGCAGAGGTAGGCGGATCTCTGTGAGTTCAAGGCCAGCCTGGTTTACATAGTGAGTTCTAGGACACCTGGGGCTACAGGGAGACCCTGTCTCAAAGAAAAACAAAAAAACAACAACAACAAAAAAATTAGTATTAGGCTTGGGATGTAGGTCAGTTGGTAGAGGGCATGTACCAAGCCCTGGGTCCAATCCCAAGCACCACTTAAAACTGGACATTATTACACATGCCTGTAATCCCAGCACTCAGTATCAGAGGTTTAAGATCTCTGCTGTATAGTGAGTTTGGAGACCCTGTCTTAAAAAGAAAAGTACAGTTGGGTTTGGGTTTGGCTTTGGTTGGTTTTGGTACCTGAGATTGAACCCAGGTTTTCTCATATACTAAGCATGTAGCTCTGCTAGCACTCTGCCATGACTGCATTCCTTTTTTAAAATTAATTATTTTTGTTTTTTTTGGCAGGGGGTTGGTCTTTTTGAAACAGGGTCTTCCTGTAGCCCCAGCTGGCCTGGAACTCATTATGTAGACCAGGCTGGCCTTGATCCTAAAGAGATCTGTCTGTGATTAAAGGCAAGTGCTATCATGCCATGCTGGATAAATAGTTCTTAATCTTTTTTCAAGTATATTTTTTTCTGCCTGCTCTTTTAAATACTTTATTATTTTTTATTTCATGTATATGAGTGTATTGCTTGCATGTATGTAAGTGACCTGTGTTATGCAGTTCCAGCGGTGGTCAGAAGAAGGCATCAAATCCCCTGGAACTGGAGTTACAGAAAGTTGTTAGCTGCCATATGGGTGCTGGGAATAAAACCCCACATCCTCTGCAAGAGCAGCCAGTGCTCCTAACCACTGGAGCCATCTCTCCAGCCTGTCTGCTTGCTTTTTAAATACTGCCTGTTTCTTGGTGCTTTTCCCTTTGCCATCTTATCCCAGTGACCTCACAGTCATAGTGGCTCTGTTGAAAAGTAGGAACTTGCACTCTGGACGGGTATAGGTGTATATTGTGTGGACAGAGTCAATACCTTTCACCACATTCCCTGCTAGACACCTGGCAAGAGAATGCAAAGCTGCAGTTGGAAGACTGTCTTTGGATTTCAGAGTAAACCTTGAACTCTGTAATGTGCCTATAGGTAATCTCATTTGAAAATCCTACAGAAATTTTTAAATCTTGTGAGTGAAGACCATCTTGACAATGTATACTTATAAGTCACTTCTTATTCATGCTGATTAAATTTGTTAGCCATGACTCATACTTTCTGGAATTTTTGGGCTCCCTTGCCCCCTTCTTCCTCTAATCAGTGGTGTTCAGTAATTACCTGTCTTCTTTTTATGAGCATCTACAACTCCCAAGACATAGTTTTTTCATAATTTTCCAAAAACTTGCTCATTGCATTACCAGTCTATAAATTGGAAAATCTTAGGGGAATCATATGAATTAAAAATTGTGAGAAACTAGTGCTCTCATAGTAATATGGAAATAGAAATATTTGCTGTGCTTCCCAGGATTGATTGTATGAAATATACTATATGGTTGAGGTGGGTTTTTTTTGTCTTTTTGAAGCAGCTGTCCTGGAACTCACTATGTAGACCAGGCTGGCCTTGACTACAGGCGTGCGCCACCACACCTGGCTTGGTTGAGTTATAAGTTAGCTTAAAAACTTAGAAATAGCGGGGCGTGGTGGCACACACGCCTTTGATCCCAGTACTTGGGAGGCAAAGACAGGTGGATCTCTGTGAGTTCGAGGCTATCCTGGTCTACATAGCAAGTTCCAGGCCAGCTGGGGCTACAGGGAGATGCTGTCTCAAAATTTAAAAAAAAAAAAAAAAAAAAAACTAATCAAAATTTAAAATTGAGTTGGAGCCAGGTGTGGTGGTGCACGCCTTTGATCCCAGCATTCAGGAGACAGAGGCAGGCGGACCTCTCTGAGTTCAAGGCCAGCCTGGTCTACATAGTGAGTTTCAGCCCAGCTGGGGCTATGGAGAGACTCTGTCTCAAAAAGACCCAAAAAGAAAAAAAATAAGAATTGGAGAGATGGGTCAGCAGTTATGAGCAATAGCTGTTCTTACAGAAGACCCGGGTTCGAATCCCAGCCCCCGCATGGTAGCTAACAACCGTCTGTAACTCCAGTTCCAGGGCATCTGACAACCTCTTCTGTCCTCTTTGGGTATTGCATGACACAGGTGCATGCATATACGTGGAGACAATACATGGCATACACATAAAATAAAAATAATTAAATATTTTTTTAAAGCTTAGAAATACACTATTGATTGAAGTTTGAGACAAGGTCTCATGTATCCCAGGCTGGCCTCCAGCTCTGTGTGGCTGAAGATAACCTTGAACTCCTTGAACCTCCTGCCTCCCACCTCAAGAGTGCCCTGATTACAGGCCGGCTCCACCATACTGGGCTAGACAACAGGTATGGCTTGCAAAATCTTGACTAAAACACATATGTATGTACTTGCTAGCTTTTCCTTGCCTACTAGTGTCTAATGTATTTGTAAATAGCATTCTACATCTTTTTTTTCAAAGAGATCTTGAGGTGTTGACAAACTTGTAGGCTACTCATAAATAATAAAGATCTGCCTGCTACTATTCCCCAAATTGATTTTTCAGCAAGAAACTTTAGAAACACGAAAAAGAAACAAATCTTTTTTTGGCTTTGATAGAGTATCTCACCATGTAGTTCTGACTGGCCTAAACTCAACATGTAGACCAGGCTGGCCTTGAACTTGTGCCTTTCAAGTGTTGAAATTATAGGCGTGAGCCACTATGCTTAGCAAGAAAAATCTAAAATGGTGAATTGTCTTCCTTTTGTTCCAGATACGTGGGCAACCTTTCCAGAGATGTGACAGAAGCTCTCATTCTCCAGCTCTTTAGCCAAATCGGACCTTGTAAAAACTGCAAAATGATTATGGATGTAAGGGTATTCCACTCAGTTTACCTTCTTTTTTTGACATAAGTAAAGCCATTACTCCAAAACTGCTTAATGTCTGCATTCACAGGGACGTTAATTTGTTATTAATCTGTTTGGGCAACCAAGTTTAATTTTTTCTTTTTCTTCCTAGTTTAGTTCTTTTTCTAAGTAAAGGAAGAAACTGAACAAATTTCTAGAGCAGATGGGGATGGGTGTGCATGCACACACTTGTTTTATGATCCATTGAGGCATCAGAATGGTTTTATATGTGATAACAACTGGTTGAATAATCTACAAATTCAATAATTGGGAAATGGGGTAGACTTTTAATAATATAAGGAAAGTGTTTTAGCTTTATTTTTATTTTTTTAAGTTTATTTTTATTATTTATGTTTTGAGGCAAGGTTTTCCTGTAGCCCCAGCTGGCCTGGAATTTGTTATGTAGACCAAGCAGCATCTATCTCGATAGCCTGCTTCTGTTTCCTGAGTGTTAGAATTAAAGGCATGTACCACCATATCTGACTAGCTTTATTTTAAAGGGTTTTTGTTGTATGTCTACCAGACCTTAAAATGCAGAAAGTGCATCAAACTTACTCCTATGATTTATGTTAACTCTGAATAATGTCTAATTTTTTTAAGAAAGTTTTTTTTTATGTGTATGAATATTTTCTGCTTATATGTATGTGTACCATGTGTTTGCCTGGTGTCTACAGAGGCCACGAAAGGCCATTGGATCCCCTGGAACTTAACAGATGGTTATGAGCTACCATGTGGGTTCTGGGAACTGAACCAAGGTCTTGTGGAAGAGCAGCAAGTGCTCTTAGCTACTGAGTCATCTCTCCAACCCTGATACCTAATTTTTTAAAAGTGTTTTTTGTGTATCATATGTATGCAGGTGCACATACCAGTTTTCACCTTCTACACTGGGTTCCTGGGATTGAACATATGTATATGTATGGAAGCCATATGTCAACTCAGGCATCACCTGCCTTGTTTTTGAGACAGGGTTTCTGATTAATCTGGAGCTTCCCAAGTAGGCTAGGCTGGCTGGCCAGTAAGTCTTCGGCTCTGGTATTGCAAGTGCACCCATCACACTGGCTTTTGCACATGGGTTCTAAGGATGGGACTCAGGTCCTTGTGCTTGTATGGCAAGCACTTTGCTGACTGAGCCATCACCTCAATCATAATATCTAAAAGAGGCAATATTTAAAAATTTGTGACTGGGGGCTGGAGAAATGGCTCAGCAGTTAAGAACACTGCTTGTTCTTGCAGAAGACCCAGGTTCAAATCCCAGCACCCGCATGGCAGCTAACAACTGTCCATAACTCCAGTTCCAGGGGATTCCACAGCCTCTTTTGTCCTCCTCAGGCATTGCGTGACACAGGTGCACTTATGTACATGCAGACAATACACTCATACACATAAAATAAAAAATAAAATATATTTTTAAAAAAATTTGTAAACCAGGTGTGGTGGCACACACCTTTAATCCTAGCACTTGGGAGGCAGAGGCAGATGGATCTCTATGAGTTCAAGGCCAGCCTGGTCTACATAGCGAGTTCCAGGACAGCTGGGGCTACAGGGAGACCCTGTCTCAAAAAGACCAAAAAAAAAAAAGTGGTAGTATAGCTCAGTAGATAGAGCATTTTCCCAGCGTACATTAGATTCTAGGTTTGATCCACTGTACTGTGAAAACAAGTTTGTTTTTTTTATCATTTTTTAAAAAAATTTTTAATAACTACATGATTAGAAGCATTTCATTACAGCTTTAACATATTCAGTAACACACTCCAGAGCAAGAGTACATCTCTTTCACAGTGGCTGTAAGTTTCTAGGTTCACAGTTGAATTAATACCGTTATACAATATTGAACTCAGTATAAGCCCTGTAAGACATAAAATTGAATGAGTTTTTAACCTTTAAAAAAGATCTCCATTTCATTTGAGAATATATTGTTCCTTGCAGAAAGACATTGTTTTTGCTACTAACGCTGAGATGTTGGTGCATGCATCTCGAATCTGTATCTGATTATTACTAGTCATAATTGGTTGTACTTGGATCCGTGGCACCTGTGTATTATGTATATAAAGTCATCAGGTAGATTTCACTGGTAATGTTTATCACCTCTACTAATTAACATGACGTAAATTTCTATGCTTCCTCCTCAAATACAATACATTTTTTAAAATTTGTTGATTTTGTGTGTGTGTGTGTGTGTGTGTGTGTGTGTGTGTATATCACACAGCATCCCAAACCATCTTATTCAACTATACACCCATTTCCCAGATGGCACCCACCCATAGCCTCCCTCCCCCCACTAGAGCCCTTATACTCCGATATCCCTGCTGACCCCCAGCCATTCCCCACTACTTGCCCTCCTGTTGAATCTAGTCAGCCTATCTGTTGAATCTAGTCAGCCTATTTAAGAGGTCTTTGTTTTAGGAAGGTCAGCTGTTCCTCATCTAACAGCAGTCAGTTGTCAATATTCCTTTAGATAAGATTGGGGTCTGCTGTTCATTTTCCCAGTTCTATGCTGGGTTACTATCTGGGAGTCCCTTTGGCCACCCTGGCCAACAACTCAAAAGAAGGTGTCTCCTATCTGGCATTGTTGCTTGTTATGTAGCCTTTAGCTATACATATGGACTGAAAACAAGTTTTGATTGGACAATTTTTTTATTTGCTGAAGGGAAATCCTTTTTTCTGCAGGAAAGAAAATCAAATATGTGTAGCTGTTACATTCTTTCTTGTTATATTTCAGTTTATGGTTGTCTGTGTCTGTATCTGTGTGTGTCTGTGTGTATGTGTATGTGGGGACACGTGCCATAGCATGTGTGTGGAGGTCAGAGAAATCAGTTCTCTCCTTCTACAGTGGGTTCCTGGGATTGAACTTAAGCTTCCAGGTTCTTTTTCACGAGCTGAGCCATCTTCCCAGCCCCTGCTAATCACATTCTAATGGACATTGATCTTTGTAACAATTCCCATTAAGTATATCATTAGTTTTGCATGTATGAAGTTCTCAATAAAGTTTTTGTAAAAGTTTTTTAAAAAAAGTATATCATTAGTTTGAATAATGTAGTTTTGAATAATGCAGTTTAAAAATGTAGTCCAGGATGACCTGGAACTTGCTGTATTGACCAGGATAGCCTCAGTTCTCCTGCCTCAGCTCATTATTCTTGGGATTACAATGTGCCACCACAGCCTGGCTTCTAGTTTGGTTTGAGATAAGGCTTATATAACTCAGGCTGGTTTCAAACTCGAGATTGTTTTGCCTGTCTCTTGAGTGTTAGTTTGAGAGATATGCACCTCCACACCCAGCGTCTCAAAATTTGTTTAGGCTGAAAGAGTGTTTAGTAACAAAATAATGAATTTCATGTTTACCTCTATGCTCTATTAGTTTCCTTTAATAATTCTCCTTAAGAAGTAATATAAAGTCATTTGGTATTTTGAACTAATAAATTCAAATTATTGGATTTTTTTTTCTGCTTTATCATAAAACATCTTAAAGCCAGGTGATAATGCCTGCCTGTCATCACATAACTCAGGAGACAGGTAGGAGGATCACTCCAAGTTGGAGGCCATATCCTAGTTAACATAGCAAGTTCCCGGCCCCCTGAGGTGTAGGGAAAGTGTCAATCAGTTAGTTAGTCAAACATCTTGGTTTGGACTGGAGGCATACTGAGTGGTAGAGGGCTTCCTTAGCATGCTCAAGGCCCTGGGTGGGGTGGGAGACAGAGGCAGGCGACAGAGGCAGGCGGATCTCTATGAGTTCAAGGCCAGATTGGCCTACATAGTGAGTTCTAGGCCAGCTGGAGCTACAGGTAGACCCTGTTTAAAAAAAATAAAATAAAATAAACCAAAAAAAAAAAAAAAACAAAAAAAAAAAAAAACCCAAAAAAAAAAAAAACCAAAAAAAAAACAAACCCAAAAAAAACAAGCTTGAGAAGGTTGGCCAAGATTTTCTTTTACATAAATGAGAAGCAATAAGATGTGTAAGTTTATAGCAATAAAGAATAGCATATATGTGGGGGTGTAGCTTATGGTAGAGCATTTGTCTAGCTTGTATGTCTAACAGGTGCAAGGGTCTGGGTTTGATCCACAGCACTACAAAAAGGAATCAAGAGATAGAGAGCAATCACAGTGTTTACTTTTTTATATAAAAATTTACTTGTGGAATGAGCTGTTCATTCTCCATGGCCTGATAACTAAAGGGTATAAAAGTTAAGAAAATATCTTTTTTTGATGGAAAAATAAGCTTAAAATTGACTTGTGTTTCTCCAACAGACAGCAGGAAATGACCCATACTGTTTTGTGGAGTTCCATGAGCATCGTCATGCAGCTGCAGCCCTGGCTGCTATGAATGGTCGGAAGATAATGGGTAAGGTAAGCTATCAGAACTACAGAAGGTGGTTTGCACTGGAATTCTTTTTTTCTTATCTTGCCTCTACCTCCCTAGTGCAGGGATTCAGGTATGCCACCATGCCTACTTTCATGCGATGTCTGAGGTGGAGCCAGGGACACTCTACAAAAGAGCTCATCCCCAACTCTTGCAGTAGAGCATTTTAAGTTGTAGAGCCAAGCATGGTGGCATACACCTTTGATTCAGTGGCAGAAGGAAGTGGATCTCTGTGAGATCAAAGCACAGCCTGGTCTACGTAGCATGTTCCAGGCCAGCTGGGAATGCAGGGAGAACCAGTCTCAAAATGACAAAACAAAATTTTAAGTTATGTATCATTTTGTTTCTGTTTTAGAACCATTATCTTTTAATGGCAAAAGGTCAGTTACTCATATTAATACTAAAAGGTAGGATGTAGATCAGAGATCTATGTTTATGTTAACTTTTCCCCATGGTGCTATGCACAGGTGAAGTACTAAAATAATGACTGAGCTACTCAAGTTTGGATGAGACTATAGTAACACTGAGTGCTAGCGGAAAAGAGGTACCTTTCGCTAAAAAAAGTATTTGAGGGGCTGGAGAGATGGCTCAGTGGTTAAGAGTACTGACTGCTCTTGCAGAGGACCCGGGTTTGATTCCCAGCACCCACATGGCGGCTACAAACCGCCCTTAACTCCAGTTCCAGGGGAATCTGATGCCCTCTTGTAACCTCTGCGGCATTGCACAACATGAGTGCACTCAAATACATGTAGGCAATACACTCGTATACATAAAATAAAAGATTAAAAAAATTTTTTTCAAAAACTATTTGAGCTATGCATGGGCATGGTGGCGTATGCCTTTAATCCCAGCACTCTGGAGGCAGATCTCTGTGAGTTTGAGGTCAGCCTGGTTTATATAGCGAGTTCTAGGCCAGCCAGGATTTCATAAAGACAATTTATTTGAGGGACTGGAACTAATGCTCAGCACTTAAGAGCACTGGCTCCAGGTTCAGTTTCCAGCCTCCACATGGCAGATCACAGCCATCTGTAATTTCTGTTCCAGGAATCCAACATCCCCTTGGCCTCTATAGGCAGGTGTTATATGCACATAGTGCACAGATGTACATGCAGGCAGAACACCTAAACACATAAAATAAAAATAAATCTTTTTAAAACATTATTTGAAAAAACACAAAGATTTAGAAAAATTAAAGTTTAGTCTGGTGTGGTAGTACATGCCTTTGATACCAGGAAAACAAAACAATCTAAAAAAAAAATGTTATTTGAACATTTGCAGAGATGTGATTAGAATTAGTCAAAATTATCCAACTGGACTTGGTGGCGTAGGCCTGTAATCCCAGCTACTCTGGATGCTAAGGCAGGAAAATTGCCAGTTCAAGGCCCTGAGGCCACAGAGTGAGTTCAAGCTCAGCCTGGGTAACTTAGTAACCTATTTCAAACTTTGGAAATGGGTGGGGGATGGATATATGGCTTAGTGGTAGAGCACTTGTATAGCATTTGTGAGGCTCTATGTTTATCCCCCAGTACCAACACACAAAAAATGTTTTTAACATAAATGTAGGTCAAATGATGAATATTGAAGCTTTAACTAGAACAGATATCCCCTTGAATGTTTCCTCATGTGATTATGAGCTTTATTTTTATGGAGTATAAATACAATTTTTTTAGGAAGTCAAAGTGAATTGGGCAACAACCCCCAGCAGTCAAAAGAAAGATACAAGCAGTAAGTACACTTGATACCCTATGGACATTTGTTTTATTACACCCAGTAGTTTATTGTAAAGCATATAAACATCATACATGTTTGCAGTAATATTTTGATCGTTATCCTAAGATATGATTTAATGTGTTTGTGTTAATAAATTTAAGAACAAATCTAATCTTTGTCATCAGGTAGTACCGTTGTCAGCACACAGCGTTCACAAGGTAATTGTATCTTCTTAAACATAAAATGAAATCTCTTGAAAGGGTATTCACTAACCACCTGAATTTTTTTGATGTTGGTTGGGGGAGGGGGGGCCGAAGGATCTCGTGTTTCTATTTGTCTCTGGAAGTATTCTCCCCCTTCTTCCCAGTGTTGACCAAGTGTGGCTTATCCACTATTTTGTTGCTAGTTAAAGCTTTCTGTCCCCCTTGGTAGCAGCTGATGTCTTAGAAATACTTTCACCAACTAAAGGGCAAGATACCCTACTTCCTTCATTGAGGTCACCTGGGCTTCATACCCAGATCTTCCAAGAGCCCAAGTTGCTCCTGAAACAGTGTTTCCGGAAGAGCAACCCAGTACGTTGCTCAAGGCCTGCCAAATAGGGGTAACTTTTCTTTCCAAATATATTTTGTCAAAATTGATGTATGTATGTGTCTATTTAAAGTGTTCATCCAGCAAGTTTGCATTTTCAAATGTTTCTTTTTTTGAGAATTGTCTTTAAAAAAAAACTTCACATATGGGATGGTTATTTCTCTCCGATGCTTTTTGATGGTTCTGATATGAAGAAGGGATTACTGTTTTCATTCTGTTGCCTTCAGTCTTAGTTCACTTGCACATGGATTCACATAAACTGAATGGTGTAATGTCTGGGCAACCAAAACTGTTGGCTTTTGAGAAAACTGTCAAATACTTTAACATCAAACTGTTGCAATGCAAGGTATTTCTTTGATTGTTCTTCACAAAATAATGACTAAATCAAGTATGTTGTGTAGCTAGCTTTAGTCAATGGCCTTAACTTAGGCAAATCTAGTCTATGTAACTCACAATACCACTATTTTATTATAATTTATAAAGCCTAAATGTAGTGGTGAAATGAATAAAAGTAAACTATTAGAACAATAGCTAAGTTTTAAGAATTATTGCAGAGATGAAACTTGTTAGTATTATTAGTTTATTCCTTAGACTCTTGTATTGACTGTAGTAGACATGTAGTTGTCAGTTCCCTTTAGTTATCAGTCTTTTTAAAAGAATCTTTCTTGTGTTGTTACCTTGATTTATTATGTTTAAAGTTGATAGGCGTTTTATAGATAGGATAGTGCTTTATTTTTACTTTATTATAATCTGTACATTATTTTAAGAATAATTGGATCAATTTTAGTATTTTTAAGTTCTGAAGTTGTATTTTTCTTTTCACTTCCCCTTCCTTCCTTTATAAGATCATTTCCATGTGTTTGTTGGTGACCTCAGTCCAGAAATTACAACAGAAGATATCAAAGCAGCTTTTGCACCATTTGGAAGAATTTCGTAAGTAACGAAAGATAAATGAAGTGCTTTTAATAAGTGTTACAATTAATGTCCAAGTTCACAACACTTAAATATAGTGTGTTCCATTGTTTAGAGATCATTCAAGGACTTAACAGCAAAGATTGTGTTCCTACCATTGAATACCTCTTTGATCTTTGGTTGTCTTCAAATCCTTCAAATCCTTCAAATCAGTTAGCAGTAGTTTTTGAGACTGTCATTGTGCATATTATAGTTCCTCATGTAGGTGTTTGCTAGTTTACTAATAATCTTTGGTAATTTTGTGCAATGATTAAAGAAGTTATTTGGGCACTTGAATGATATCCTGCATTTTCTCATAGAGATCCATCTGCCTCTGCCTCCCAAGTGCTGGGGTTAAAGGCATGTGCCACCATGCCAGGCCCTGATATTAATTATACATTTTAGACCCTTGTTCATCATAGAACTTAAAATGTTTGAAAAGTATGCCAGGCTATGTAAGAATAACAAGCTGTTTTTGATATTTACTTAGGAATAATTGTTGAGTTCATGGAAGGTTTTTAAGGTGTTCTGATTCCTTTGTTATTGTGTCATTAGAAAACTATTGAAAAGGAAATTCCAGCTGTGGTAGGTCTGAACAAATGAACAGCAGAAGCAAGATGAGGAGAGTGGAAGGAGGTGCCAGTAGCACTTGGCTGAATTTTGAGGTTTTCACTGAGGACTTGCAGTTGGCAAGAGGGTTTCCATGAGTAGTGATCCAGGAAGGGCCACCTTGAAGGGCAAGGACAGGACTGGGCTTCCAAATAGACTTTTCTGTTACAGGACATTCTCCTTTGTGAGAACTGGTTAAGAAAATAAGTAAGGTTTTAATTCTTGTTTGATTGTCCTAACTGCCTTAGGATTTCAGTAATGATTGATTGCTTTCAAATGTCTAGATTTGGAGGGTTTTATCTCAGCTTTTGGCCTCTGAAAAGCTCTGAAAATGTATGCAGAATTTTTGGGGTTTTCATTTTGCTGAGAATCTTTATAAATTTAATCCTATCCTGAGAGAAGTTATAGGACTAGAAAAGACTTAAGAGTCCTGCTCCAAGCCAGGCATGGTGGTGCATGTCTTTGATTCCAGCACTCAGGAGGCAGATGCAAGCCAATCTCTGAAATCAAGGCCAGCCTAGTCTACATAGCAAGTTCCAGGCCAGCTGGGGCTACAGGAAGACCCTGTCTTTGTTTTTTAAAGGAGTCCTGTTCTAATCTTTCTGTTCTGAGTAAGTCCTGTTGGAAAAAAGTAAGAGTTGAATATATTTCAAGACTGACATTTCCTAGAGCATTAAAAAGGAAAAGCTTTTTCTAACATTGTGAACCAATGAAGTAGCTATTTCAGTGAATATTTTATTTTGATTGAGGTATCTTTTCTGATAAGAATTCTAATTGTAAGTAGAGATTAGACTATGATTGCTTACTAACTAGTCAAGGGCCAATGAGATGATTCATCAGGGTAAGGGTCCTTGCTGTCAAGTCTGACCTGAGTTTGATTCCTGTGATTCACACAATGGAAGGAGAGAACTGATTCGGAAAAATTGTTCTCTAACCTTCACATGCTCATGCACACACACACACACACACACACACACACACATAAAATATATATGTATGTATTTATATATTATATATGTTATATAAGTATTTATTGTTGGTAAGCTGGGTATTGGTGGGTTCATGCCTTCAATTTCAATACTCTGGAGGTACAGACAGACAGATGTGAAATGGGAAGCTAGCCTGGTCTATATAGCAAGTTGTAGGCCAACTGAGGCTACAAGGAGAGTCTGTCTCAAAAAAACAAGAAACATAGCCAGGTGTGGTGGCGCACACCTTTAATCCCAGCACTTGGGATGCAGAGGCAGGCAGATCTTTGTGAGTTTGAGGTCAGTCTGATCTACATAGTGAGTTCCAGGCCAGCTGGGGCTACAGGGAGACCGTCTTAAAAAGACCCCCCAAAAAAAAAAAATGCGGGGTGTGGTGGCACATGCCTTTAATCTCAGCACTGAGGCAGGCGGATCTCTGTGAGTTCAAGGCCAGCCTGGTCTCCATAGCGAATCCAGGCCAGCTGGAGACCCGGTCTCAAAAAAGACCCCACCACCACCACCAAAAAATAAAAAATAAAAACAAAACAAAAAAAGTACTGGTATTGGTAAAGTTAAATTGACCTTCACGCTTAGTTTCATGACTTTGGAATATTAAAAACTAATATTTTTCTTTTGTTAAACATGTTTACATCATATTTTTAGCCTGTGGACTTTTTAAAAAAGTTTTTGCTTTTGTGTATTTGTATGTGTTCTGTATGTATATGTGGGCACATGTGTGCACGTTTGTAAAGAGCAGAGGTTGACATCAAGTGTTTCTCGATTACATTCCACCTTATATATTGAGGCAGGGTCTCTCATTTGAACCCAGAGTTCACCAAGTCCACTGGTCTAAACAGCTAGCCCTGGGAATCCTCTTTCTCTGGCTCCCAGACACTGGGATTACAGGTGGGCTGCCACACCCACCTGGCATTTATGTGGGTCTTAGGGATCCAGATTCAGGTCTTTATGCTTACATGACATGTGGTTTATCTGCTGGGCCATCTCCCAGCTTCAGTGAATTTTCGTGTGTGTGTGTGTGTGTGTGTGTGTGTGTGTGTGTGTGTATGTGTATCCCTTAGTAAGGCCTTTCATTGATAAAGTATGTGCTTGACATTTAGCCTTTACAAGGAGTTAGCTTTCTTAAATATAAAAGAAACGTTTAACAGTTGATAACACATAGCATTTTCCTATTGTTTTTGCTATGTTTTTTTTTTTGTTTTTTTTTTTTTCTTTTTGAGACAGGGTCTCTCTGCAGCCCCAGCTGGTCTGGAACTCTATATAGACCAGGCTGGTCTCGAACTCACAGAGAGATCCACCTGTCTCTGCCTCCTGAGTGCTGGGATTAAAGGCATGCACCACCATGCCCAGCTGGTTTTTTTTTTTTTTAAGAACTTTATTCTTTAAAATAGTTTAAAATAAATAACAAAGGATCCCAGGCCTTCAGAAAGGTGGGAGGGGAATCTACTGCATTTTGCACTCAGGCACATCTTTTTTGGTTTCTGGGGGTTTTTTTTGGTCTTTTTGGGACAGGGTTTCCCTGTAGTCCAGCTGGCCTGGAACTCAAAGAGATCCGCCTGCCTCTGCCTCCCGAGTACTGGGATTAAAGTCATGCACCACCACACCTGGCTGTGGTTTCTGTTTTTTTAAAGGAGGCAGGTTGATAACTGTTGAAGCACTCCTACAGTAGATAGATAACTTTCTGTAGGCAGCTTACACAATGCTCAATTTATAGAAAGTGTAGGATAAGTGGTGGTCTATTAAAATGTAAAAAACAATACTTTCCTTAATTTTTGTAGCTTAAACCCTGCCTGTTCATTGAGTTTAGTCCATCTAGCAAATTTTGATATAAAAGTAAATTAAGTACCAAATTAAATGCATGTAAATTTCTATATATTAAGAAGTGGCTTACATTAGTTTTCTCTAATCACCAGCACCTGTTCATCATTTGACTACACTTAATAAATCACTTCTAAATAGATCTAAGATATTTTTGTGTATACTTAAAATTACATTGCATGGCTTTCTGACTTGGGTTCTTGTTGTAAGTGTCTTTTGTTTATGTGTCCTGAGAGAATAAGCATTGTGGCATACCTGGCTAACCTAAAAGCAGATTGCCTGGGAAGCACAATTTGAGTCCCATTTTTTGAGGTATGGCATTTTAGCTATCATGGCTGGGTCTTTACTCAATCTCAAATAATAGGGCTCTGGTTATTTTGCAGAGTGCCTCTGAAGAAGGGACAGGATTGCCCTGGCTAACCACAAGCTACTGTTCACAGTGGATAAATGTTGGCGTGCTTTTTTACATAGTGACTTTTGAAAATTTTGTTTTCATATCTTACAGTTTCCAGTCAGTCTTAATATGAATGCTATTATGAAATTCAGTATCAATTATTTTCTCATAGTTTAAAAGTAAAATGTGCATCTAGTATTTTTCTTCGTTGATTTAACATTTCTGAAAATATCAGGTTCTCAAAATTTACCCTAGCCCAAAAGGGGCTATGGCTACCTCTGAGAAAATGAAATAATTAGTTTGAGAGTATACAACTTTTTAATCTTTTAGTTTCCAGTTTTCTGTTTTAATTTTTAAATGATTAGGTAGAATGTGATGCCAAACAGCAAATTATAAATTGTCTGGTTAAAGAAAGCCATTCATTTGTTATACCTGAGAACCTTATAATTGACTAAGTAATTTGTGTGAGTAGCTGCTTCCACCATGTTTACTGTTTAAAAGTTTATAAAACATTATGAAGTGGGAAATAGTTTCTTTAAAATCTGGACTTATATTTGTTACTGATTTGCGTGCCTACAAAAATAAGCCTCATTTGTCAATATATGTTTTATAGAATAAAAGGTGAATTTATGTTAAAAATTTACTTTTAATGAATGTAAAGCATGAAAATGAGTTGTGTATGTAATTCTAATTTTATATCCAGAGGACAGTTTAAAAACCTCAATTTCTGCTCTTTCTGTTTTCAGAGATGCCCGAGTGGTAAAAGACATGGCAACAGGGAAATCAAAGGGATATGGCTTTGTCTCCTTTTTCAACAAATGGGTGAGCGAAATCAGCAGTCCATAGTGCTGTAGAATGAACTATGAAAGCACTCAGGTTGCTTTAATCAATCTTTTTTTTCTATTGTATACTCATTTCACTGATAATTAGCACCTGATGCATGCAAAATACTGATAATATCTTTTAAAATATGCAAAATAAAAATGCTTACAGCTAAAAACTGAGATTGAGAATGTCAGGGCCAATAGGATGGCTCAGCAGGTAAAGGTGCTTGTCTCAAGCCTGATGACTTGACTTTAATCCCTGGAACCCATGTGGTGGAAGAAGAGGACTGACTCCTGCAATTTGGCTTCTGTTCTCTGACTTCTACCTGCATTGCATGTGTGAGTGAGCACACGTACACACTAAAAAACTAGGCATGATAGTGCATGCCTTTAATCTCAGCACTTGGGAGGCAAAGGCAGGTGGATCTCTGTGAGTTCAAGGCCAGCCTGGTCTACATAGTGAGTTCCAGGCCCACTGGGGCTAGGGGCTACAAGGAGACCTTGTCTCAAAAAGACCCCCAAATTTAAAAAAAAAAAAAATAAAAGTAAGAAAGGAAAGGGTACTGCATAAAACCAGGTCGAAAGATGCACTCATGTAAATTCTAGCATCAGGAAGATGGAGGCAGGAGGATCAGGCTTTTTTTTTTTTTTCTTTGAGACAAGGTCTTACTGTGTAGCTCTGGCTGGTCTCTGCCTCCTGAGTGCTAAGATTAAAAATGTGAGTTACCATACTCTTCACCAAGGATGATCAGAATGTTAAAGGCATCTTCAGCTATATAATGGGTTCAAGGCCAGCCAGGGAGACATGAGTCCCTGTCAAAAAAGATGGGGGGAGGGGAGGAGTGCAGCAGGAAGGAAGGCTTACTTAAGGTTAATTTACTGTCTTAATAGTTCCATGATATTTAAAAGTAATAAGATGTCTCCAGGTGTGGTGGCGCACGCTTTTAGTCCTAGCATTTGGGAGGCAGAGGCAGGCGGATCTTTGTGAGTTCGAGGCCAGCCTGGTCCACGTAGTGAGTTCAGGTCAGCTGGGGCTACAGGGAAACCCTGTCTCAAAAGGACAAAAAAAAAAAAAGTAGTAAGATACCCTAATTTAAAATGTATATTACTGTATTTGAGTGCCTCCTGTCATATTTCTTCATTCTATAAACACTGAATGTCCCTTTGTATAGGCTTCAAATTTTCTGGGTTTTACCAGCTATAGTGGCCCACACACCTTTAGTCCCAGCAGTTGGGAGGCAGAGTTTGTGGGGTGGGGGTCCTCTATGAGATCAAGGCCAGCCTGGTCTACATAGCAAGTTCCAGGCGGCTGTGGTTACAGGGAGATCCCATCTCAAAACAGAACAAATTTTCTGGGTTTTGCAGAAAAAAGAAGGATATTTTGGTTATTGATTATAGAAGTTTCCACATGTGTTGGTAGGTTGAAAGTTAATTTGTGTAAAAAGGAAGGGAGCATGGGGGCATGTTTGTGTAAATGTTCTTGTTTGTGTTTCCCCATAGGAGTAAATAAAAAACTTTAAATAGCATTTCCTGTTCAAAGGTTGATGTTGGGAACTTGGCTGGTCGAGCAAAACATTGTTCTACTTTGTAATGATTTAATAATTATTTTAAAGATTTTTTTAGTATGGTCACTTGAGGTTTAAAGCAGTTAAATGCTAGCCTGTAATCCCAGCACTTGGTAGGTAAAGGCAGGAGGATCAGGAGTTCAAGTCCAGCCCAGATTACAAGAGACTGTCTCGAAAAAAAAAAAACAGGCAAAGAAAAATATCTTGGTTAAATGAAGCAGGATCACACGTGCAAAAACGTGAGGGTAAATGGCAAGAGAATTTATATGCACAAATTTGCAGTGTTTAACAGGGATTTATTAACCTTTCGTTGTTTATATTATGGCTAGTGGTCGTTGAAAGTAAGTACAAAAGCATTGCACCTTCTGTATTAGAATGCCCTCGAGTATGCCATGAAAAAATTTTCATAGGCATGAGGGTGCATGTGTGTAATCTGAGCACTGGAAGACTAAGGCAGGAGGATGGAGATTTCAACTGCAGGTATGACAAGACCCTGCCTCAAAAAATGAAAAGGGCTGGGAATCAGGTAGGTCAGTACTAGAGTGCTTACTAGAGTTTTTGAGGACCTGAGTTTGATTTTCAGCAGTGTAAAAATTAATTAATTTTTAAAGATTTCTCATAGTACAAATTTTTTAATAAATTGTTTTAAGATTTTTTTTCTTTTAATTGTGTGTGTGTGTGTGTGTGTGTGTGTGTGTGTGTGTGTGTGTATACACATGTGTGCTGGTATTTCTGGAGGCCAGAAGATGATCTCAGATCCCCCTGAATCTGGAGTTACTGATGGTTGTAATCAGCCTGGTGTGGGTGCTAGAAACCAAACTTAGATCTTCTGCAAGAGCAGTATGCATTCTTAACCTGTAAGTCATCTCTCTAGCCCTAAAGTTATTTAGAAAGGCTTGTCTGACTATAGTAAATAGAGAATATGAAATAGATGTCATTTTCTTCTCCCCCACCCCTTCTTTTTTTCTTTTATTGTTCGGTGCTGGGGATTGAATCCAGGGCTTCCAGTATACTAGGCAAGCCTTCTACCACTAAGCTAAATACCCAGTGAGATATGTCATTTTTTTTTTTTTGGATGACTCCCAAGTCTTTGCTATGATATGTTATGATAGAATGGCCCCTTCTGAGTCTTCCTATATATGTGGTCTCTTTGCAGCTATGCAAATAATGGTAGATTGCCACACCTTTTAGAGCCTGTGTCTACTTACACTAATCTAATCTCTTGATTATTCCTAAGAATGTTTAGAAGCTAAGTAGTCACTGTAGCTTGCTTGTAGTTATTTGTCTAAAATTTACTATCTAAATTTAAATTTTTCTATAAAAATATACGTATGGTAGGCTAGAGAGATGGCTCAGCAGTTAAGAGCACTGACTGCTCTTGCAGAGGACCTGGGTTCAATTCTCAGCACCCACATGGTAGTTAACAACTATTTGTAACACCAATTCCAGGGGACCTGACACCTTCTTCTGACCTCCAAGGACCTTGCACATCATGGGTGCACTTACATGCAAGCAATACACTCATGCACATAATATGAAAATAATAAATAAATAAAATGTATGTATATATATTTATTTTTTTGTCTTTTTGAGACAGGGTCTCCCTGTAGCCCCAGCTGTCCTGGAACTCACTATGTAGACCAGGCTGGCCTTGAACTCACAGAGATCTGCCTGCCTCAGCCTCCCAAGTGCTGGGATTAAAGGCATGCACCACCACACCCATCAAAATATATATTTTTAAATATTTTATTATTTTTATTTTATGTGTATGTGTGTATTGCCTGCATGTATCACGCAATGCCCACGGAAGACAGAAGAGGCTGTTGGATCCCCTGGAACTGGAGTTACAGACAGTTGTTAGTTGCCATGTGGGTGCTAGGATTCAAACACAGCTCTTCTGCAAGAACATTCAGTGTTCTTAACCGCTGAGCCATCTCTCCAGCCCCAATAAAATATTTTTTTAAATTTACATTTGGTAGCCGGGTGTGGTGGTACACACCTTTAGTCCCAGCACATGGGAGGCAGAGGCAGGCCAATCTCTGTGAAATCAAGGCCAGTCTGGTCTACATAGCAGGTTCCAGGCCAGCTGGGTTTATAGGGAGACCTTGTCTCAAAAGAAAAAAAAATTTACATATGGCTAGCAAGTTCAGCAAGCTAAGAGAATCCACATTGAATGTTGATCAGCTGTTGTCACTGCATTGCTGTGTTGCTAGACTGTTTGAACTTGTGTCTTTCCTACATCCAGTGAAATTTGTGTGAGAAAGTAGGAAAAGTAGGTAAGCCTCTAAAGCTGGGTGAAATAAGCTATAATTTTAAAACAGAAGCAAAGAATTATCTTTCTTTTTTGTTTTTTGGTATGTTTGAGTCAAGTCCTGCTGTGTGGCCTGGAACTTGTTATGTTGACCAGGTTGATCTTCAACTTGGAGTGAGCCCCCTGCCTCTGTCTCTTGAGTGTTGGTTTTATAGGAGTGAGTCACCTTACCCAGCTTGTTGACAGTTGAGAAGACATATACTTGATCATGCACATGACCCATCTACCAAATACACAATTTTTTTCTTAGAAAATCAAAATAATAATGTAGTTGTGCTTTATTGTTAATCACAAACAACATAGTACTTTAAAAGGTAGAAAATGCTTTATAGGCCAAGTGTGGTGTCGCACGCCTTTAATCCCAGCACTCGGGAGGCAGAGGCAGGCGGATCTCTTGAGTTCAAGGCCAACCTGGTCTACATAGAGAGTTCCAGGACAGCTGGGGCTGCAGGGAGACCCTGTTTCAAAAAGACAAAAAAAAAAAAAAAGCTTTATAATTTATATTGATAGCTACTATTATTTTAAATTTCTTAGAGGGTTGGTTCATAGGTATTTTTATTTAGGCAAGTAAATTGAAGGTATGGGTGTGCTAGAAACTTTTTATTTTCCCATTTGAGCTTATTGAATATGTAGGTGTTACTGTAGATAAAACTCTCTTCTCCATGCATATCCATGATAACTGAAATCTGGTGGTCTTCACTAGGTGTCTCTCAGATATTGTAGGCTTGCCGTGTCTTAGCTAGAATTATCTGTTTACTCTCAGCCTTGTTCTCTACTCTCCTGCAGGCTTTCTCATTTCCTGTCCTTTCACCTTCCCAAGCAAGGACTTAGGGATTGTCTCTGATTGGCCCCTTTTGGTTTACAAGTCTTCCCATTCCAACCTATTGTCTCTCCATATCATCCACTGATACCACACTACTTGTGGTCAGAAGCATTTTTTTAAAAAAATTCTGGATGTTGGAGTAATGCTGCATAAAGTGTCTTCTTGGTTTTACTACCCAGCGCTCTAAACCACCTGCCTCCAAGCATTGGTCTTTTTCAAGCATAGATCAGGACTTCATCTTGGAATCTTCTAGTTCTGTTCTCTGGCACCTTTCCTTTTTGCTTACTTGGATTCTGATATTAGTCCTTTCCACATGCTCTTTCAGTCCATACAAGACTATCTTTGTAGTCTTTTCCACCAGTGGTGCTTTCTTCCCCATTGTTTTGACTTGATTAGCTTCAAAAAGGCCTTCCCTACCCAAGCCTCCTAGCATGCTATGCCATGTTACTCATCTGAGCCTGTTGTTTCTGTTATGGTGCTTATCACAATTTGTAATTACTCTGTCACCCCAAAGAATGTAAGATCCATGTAAGTATGTGAGCCATGAGTACTGCTGCACTGTATCCTTATTTCCATTTAGGGTTCCCAAACTCTGTTACCAGGTAAAGGTAATTTGAAAGCAATAATGCATTTTGAAATCTTACATCGTATAATTCATAAGGCATTTTCACTTAAAAAAAAAAAATCTGTGAAGGGCACCAAATGTTCTCTACTGCTAAAAACTGTTTATAATGTTAATTAATTGTGGCTTCTTTGTTGTTTCTAATGTTGTGCGGAACAGGATGCCGAAAACGCCATTCAGCAGATGGGTGGCCAGTGGCTTGGTGGAAGACAAATCAGAACTAACTGGGCAACCCGAAAGCCTCCAGCTCCAAAGAGTACATATGAGTGTAGGTGCATTGGAGAAGAAAAGAAATGTGGAATTTTGGAGAAAAATACACTAGATTTTAAATGTTAGAGCTGTTCCCGGAGACTTATTGCAGAAATAGATGAGAAGCAAATCAAGACTACTGTTCAAAAATGTACTTAGCTTTCATTTTTGTAATTTTAAATAATTATATTATCTCTAATGTCAAGTCTCCTATTAAATAGAGAATATGGGGTAATTTTTTAATGTGCTCTCGTGGGAGGCTAATCCTAAACTACAAAGTAATTATGTGTTTTATAGACATTTTGATCAAGGAAAACATTGCCAATATAGTAGTGTAGTTAATTTAGCTTCTCTTCTTATGAACACATGTGATGAATTGAAGATACAAAACATTCTGTCTTGCCAGCAAACACCAAACAGCTGTCATACGATGAGGTTGTGAGTCAGTCGAGCCCCAGCAACTGCACTGTATACTGTGGAGGGGTGACATCGGGGCTGACAGGTATGGAAGTGGCCTGTGTGGCATCCTCAAACTGTCTTCTAAACTAAAAGCTTTGTATTTGTAGGTTTTTAAATACTGTATTTTCTTTTTTTGTTTTTTTGTTTTGTCTCACAGAACAACTAATGCGCCAGACTTTTTCGCCATTTGGACAAATAATGGAAATTCGAGTCTTCCCAGATAAAGGATATTCATTTGTTCGGTAGGGATAGTTTCTTTCAAAGCTTTTTTTTTTTCCTCCAGAAATAATTTTTGAACATTTATCATAATGATTTTTCTTAAGAATCTACATAGTGGATTCCAGGCCAACAGGGGCTACTAGAAGACCCTGTCTTTAAAAAAAAACAAAAAACAAACAACAAACAAAAAAAACAGATTCCTTGAACCACCAGCTCAAGGTTCACCTGGACAACCCTCTGAGACCCAAGCAATAGAATATCTCTAGCATATAGATATTTGCTGATGCATTTTTATAACTCCTTCTTTCCAACAGAATACCAACAAAATACATCTTCCATTAAAACAAATTTCCTATGCTGGGTGTGGTCATGTGATTTGTAATCCCAACACATGGGAGGCTGAGGCAACAGTATTAGGAGTTCATGTTCATCCTTGTCTTCATTAGGAAATTCAAGGCCAACCTGGACTACATAAGACCCTGTCTTAGAAAAAAAAAAGGGACTAGAGAGTTGCCTCAGAGGTTAAAAGTACAAGGTACTCTTCCAGAAGACCCAAGTTCAATTCCCAGCACCTATGTGGCCAGCACTAGGGAATCTGATGCCCTCTTCTGGCCTCCACCACGCACCCACTCACACACGGAAGACATACATACACATAAACTAAAAAAAAACAGGCATGGTAGTGCACACCTTTAATTCTAGCACTCAGAAGCCAGAGGCAGGCAAATCTCTGTGCGTTTGAGGCCAACTTGGTCTACATAGTGAGTTCTAGGCCAGCTGGGGCTACAGGGAGACCTGTCTCAAAAAAAAAAAAAAAAAAAAAAAAAAATCTCAGCACCACTGTAAGATCTCTGGGGAAAAAAAATGCTGCTTTATTGGGATTTTGGGTGGGTAGGTGGAGATTGTTTCAGAACTGCCTGTTTTTCTCAAGCATGCCTTGTGTTTTTTATTTTCTTTCCCCCAAACGGAGGTCAAATTTATTGTCCTTGACTTTAAAAATAGGTTGTATTCATATGTAATTAAAAGAATTTATATTGGTAATTCTTAATATTGTTTCCAATAGGTTCAATTCTCATGAAAGTGCAGCACATGCAATTGTTTCTGTTAATGGTACTACCATTGAAGGGCATGTGGTGAAATGCTATTGGGGCAAAGAAACTCTTGATATGATAAATCCTGTGCAACAGGTGAGAGGGTCCTTGACTTTGGGATGTAATTGCTGGGCTAGTAATGAGGTTACTTTAAAATGAAACTTGTTAATAAGTTTATAGCTCAATTCATAGTACATAAGGGCTCTTCCTACATGTATTATAGTTCCGGAGTGGTGTGTCATGGATTGCAGTGGTGACATGATGAGTGTAACCGCCTCAGTTGACTCATGCTCACACAGTGGATTTTAAAATGCTCCGCCAAACCTAACAGGGTATTAAATCTTTTTTTAATACTTGGTAGATTTATTCACATTGATTTGGAGAACTCACAAGCATGCTTGACCCAACTGAATAAGAAAATGAAGCTACAAATATATGTAGGGCTTTAGTATTGCTGCTTTTTTCTTTTTCTAGGCAATGTTAGTGGTTCATTCTGATTCCCACAAAGATTTCTGTGAGGAAGTTGTAAATGGAGCATAGAGATGCGAGTAAGAAAATCCTAAACTACACATGTGGACTTCTTAAGTAAAATGTGTATTGGAATAAAGTAATCTTTATGTTCCCTATCTAGAGGAAACAATCTTGTTGGTAGTTTACCAAATAACAAGTTTAATATTATCCTTAGGGGCCGAGCATGGTGCTTACACCTTCAGTTCCGGCACTCAGGAGGCAGAGGCAGGCAGATCTCTGTGAGATCGAGGCCAGCCTGGTGTGTATAGTGAGTTCTAGGCCACCAGGGACTACCTGTCAGAAAAAAAACAAAACACCACAACAACAAAAGATTTATCATTAGGCCATTGCCTGAGCCTTACAAGATGTTTAGATGACCATGTAGTTATAGCAGTGTAATGGCATTTTTTCTTAGCAGTCTTTTTTTTTCCTGGTACTGGAGATCAAATCCAGGCTTCGTACATACTTAGTAAACTTTCATTCTACCACTGAGTTACATTCCCCACCCTATCCTTTCAGTTGTGATTATGGTCCTGTGTTTTGGCTAAGTGTGGTATATTAAGACTGTATATACAAGTAACTTCATGTTATACTAAATTATCTGTTATAACTTTACTTGATAGCAAAATCAAATTGGATATCCACCACCGTATGGCCAGTGGGGCCAGTGGTATGGAAATGCACAGCAGATTGGCCAGTATATGCCCAATGGCTGGCAAGTTCCTGCCTATGGAATGTATGGCCAGGCTTGGAGCCAGCAGGGATTCAAGTAAGCATATTTATTTGTTCTTCTCCTTTCTTAACCTTGGAAAATGTCAAAAAGAAATTTTTTTTTTGTCTTTTTAAGACAGGGTCTCCCTGTAGCCCCAGCTGTCCTGGAACTCACTATGTAGACCAGGCTGGCCTTGAACTCACAGAGATCCACCTGCCTCTGCCTCCTGAGTGCTGGGATTAAAGGCGTGTGCCACCACACCCAGCTCCAAAAAGAAACTTAAGTAATGAGTAAATAATGTGGCCCTGGTATTAAGGTAAGCATAACTATAGCCTTGAAGAACGTTAATTTAGAATAAATTTTTGAATTTATACTTAAGAAATATTTTATTATTTTAAATTTTATATGTATGAGCATATTGCCTGTGTGTGTGTGTATGTGTAAGTGCACCCATGTCGTGAAATGCCCTCTGAGATCAGAAGAGGGTGTTAGATTTCCCTGGAACTGGAATTACAGATAATTGTTACCTGCTGTGTGGGTGCTGGGAATCAAACTCGGGTCCTCTACAAGAGCCCACCAAAACAAATTTTAAAGAGAAATATTAAAAAGTATAAATGTAAGGGGCTGGAAAGATGGCTTAGCAGTTAAGAGCACCAGCTGCTCTCCTGGATTTGATTTCCAGCACCCATATGGCTTCTAACAACCATCCAGGCAAATCCAATGCCCTCTTCTGATCTCCGTGGGCATTGCACAACACAGGTGCACTGCAGGCAATACACCCATACACATAAAATAAAAATAATTTTTTTTTCAGTTTTCGATAAATTTAGTAAGTTTGTTATTCAAGATCTTAACAGGAGAGCTCATAAAACCATGACTACTGGTCTTGTTAGTGAGGCTACCTAGGGACCCCAATTTTTCCAGGTACTCTTCCAGAAAGACTCATTTCCCTCTTCTCCGGCCTTTATTCTCTCTAGTAGGTGCCTTACATTTTCTCTGACTATGCCAGATTGATTTTCATAAAAACAGCACAGGTTCCTCCCTTTTCTGATAGTTCTGGCATCTCTAGTCTCAGGTAGGGATAAGTTTACTGGCAGATCCAAGGAAATTTCCAGCTCTCAGCTGAGGAAAAAACTAGTCATTTTTCTAACCCTAATTGCCAATAGGGAATGGGAGCATCAGTCATTCTGACTTCCATGCTGATGTGGCAAATGGGGTACCCCTTCAGTGGGTCTACCTGGAAGACCCAAAAGTATACCTATGGAGAGAAAAGAAAATACTGTCTTAAAATTTTTTTAAATTTTATTTTGGCAGATCCCTGGGGCTTCCCATCTTAGCGTAGATCCAGCCATCCTAGCTTAATTGGTGATCCCCTGGTCCCAGTGAGAGACCTGTCTCAATAAACAAAGTAAACAGCTCCTGAGGAATAACATCCAGCATTCATTGTTGGTCTCCATATGCAGACTCACATACATATACACACGTGCACACACATGTGCTTGTGCACACAAATAAGATAAAGATTTGTGTAGAAATATTTTGTTTTAAATATAATCAGGACAGTACAAATAATCCTGATATAGTAAATCAACTCTTAGAAAGTTATTACATTTTACTTATTTAAATGTGTGTGTGTGCACATACATGTCATGGAATACCCATGGAGGTCAGAGAACAATTTGTGTGAGTGAATTCTCTCCTTTCTCTATGAGAGTCCTGAGTATTGAACTCAGGTTGTCAGACTTCAGCAAGTGCCTTTACCCACTGAGCCATCTCACCAGCCCTTGTTTTTGTTTTCTGGGACAAGGTCGTATATAGCCCAGTCTGGCCTTGAATTTGACTTAAAACTGAAGATGACTTTGAATTCCTGACCCTCCTGCTTCTACCTGCCTGCATGGATGGAAGTGTACCCATGTCATGTGATGCCCAAGGAGGTCAGAAGAGGCCATCAGATCCCCTAGAACTGGAGTTATGGACAGTTGTTAGCTGCCATGTGGGTGCTGGGATTCAAACCTGGGTCTTCTGCAAGAACATTCAGTGTTCTTAACCGCTGAGCCATCTCTCCAGCCCCAGATATACTTATTTTTAATCCAAGGAAAAAGAATCTCTCCAGGTGGCTTCTAACTGCCAGGAGACCCCCTTTCTCTCTAATCTTAGTTCCTCTATGGAAGTATTCAGTCTTTGATGAAAGGCTACTGTAGGAGCTTTCCTTTCTCAGAACGTTGTAGTCCCTCAGTTGCACCACTGGCATCTGCACTAGAGCCCTGGCCATGCCCACATGACCCTAACGTTTCCTCTGAGGCATGTGAGCAGACAGAATGCAGGAACACAGTCCTCTGCACTGTGAAATTATGCCATCTTACCTACATTTCTAAAACATACTGGAATTAAAAGTACTTTATGTCAGTATGTATACAGTGTGGCTCATGCCTTTAATCCCAGCACTTGGGAGGCAGAGGCAGGCGAATCTCTGAGAGTTAGAGGCCAATCTGGTCTCCATAGCAAATCCAAGCCAGCTGGGGCTATATAGGGAGATCCTATCTCAAAAAGACAAAAAAAAAAAAAAAAAGAAGAAGAAGAAGAAAAAGAAGATGTATACAGTATGAAAAAGTCAAAGGATAATCTTTTTTTTTAATTTTTATGTGTATGTATTGCCTGCATGTAGGTAAGTGCACCTGTGTCATGCAGTGCCTTTGGAGATCAGAAGAGGCTGTCGGATCCCCTGGGACTGAAGTTATGGACAGTTATTAGCTGCCATGTGGATGCTGGGATTCGAACCCAGGTCTTCTGCAAGAACAACCAGTGTTCTTAACCGCTGAGCCTCTCTCCAGCCCCAGATTAATCATATTTTTCAAAAAGTAGTTTAGGGCCAGGCTTGGTGGTACACACCTTTAATCCCAGCACTCACAATATAGAGAGTTCCTGTCCAACTGAGTCTCAAAAAAACAAACCAAAAAAAAGCACTTTATAGTTTAAAAAACAGTATTTGTAATGATGAGAAACTTGGATATTAATATGTGCTAATGATTGCTTTAGTTTCTTCTTTGAACATTAAAGGTAATTATTCATTGTGAAGCAGTTTCTTTCAGGGAGTGGCTTGCTCAGTGTGCATGCAGCTTAGGTGGGGCAGTTTTGGGGGATGGGAGGTGGGTTTTTCTGAGTTCAAAGTGTATAAATATTATAGATTAAAAGTATCTTAAAGCCGGACTTGGTGGTGCACACCTTTATTCCTAGCACTAGAAAGGCAGAAGCAGGTGGGTCTCTGTGAGTTCAAGGCCAGCTTGGTGTACATGGTAAATAAATTCCAGGCCAGCTGAGGCTACTGGGAGACCCTGTCACAAAAAAAAAAAAAAAAAAAAATTGTCTTAGCTATAACTTCTAGAAAAATATACTACTCAGGTAAATGTGTTGGGTGTGTGGGGATACTTTTTTTTTTTTTTTTTCTTTGACTTCTACAAAAACTTTATTGAGAATTTCATACATGTATATAAGGTGTTTTGATGAAATCCATGCCCACTCCCTCCCTTCTAACACCTCCCATATCTCCATCACGTTTTTCTTTTCTTTCATTGATTTATTTTTATGGGGCTTTTGGGTACTCTTAACATTCCCCCCTTTGAAGAGGTAACCCTAGAATCTTTTCAGGATTAGATACAAGCTCCCAAATGCTTTTGACATTTTTGGCCTTTGAAACAGAGTATGTTGCTAACAGTCCCAAGGACATTTTGACTTTTTAGCCAAGAAACTAGCTACTTTTCTTTGGGGTCTTTTTACCCTAACTGCCTAGCCAATTCCTACCTCCTATTCTTATCATGTCATCCTCTGAAAGGGTTACCCAAATTCCCATGTATTCATTTGTTCTTGGCCTGATACTGTTTTAACCATAGATCTATGCTTTTTGCATGTTTTTAAACAGTCAGACCCAGTCTTCTGCTCCATGGATGGGACCCAATTACAGCATGCAGCCACCTCAAGGGCAGAATGGCAGCATGCTGCCTAATCAACCTGCTGGGTATCGAGTGGCCGGGTATGAAACCCAGTGAGAAAGGACTCCTGATGGAAGCCAGTGGCTGGAGGCTACAGGGAGGGTAGGAAAGCAGTTGTTTACTTAAAGATTTATCAAATCAGTCAGTACAAATGTCAGATACAATGTATTTATTTAAAAGATTCATTTTTTTAATCATGAATTACTTTTCATCCACATTGTTTTAAAAGGAACAGGATTGTGGATGTCTGCCAGTTTTTGCCTTCATTATCTTTTTTTATAAAGTTTCTCAGATCCTTGTTTCAAATACAAATGCAGGGATTGCTGCCACTTTTTAGAAATTAAGAGGCAGAAAATTGCACAATGTTGAACTTTTTTCCACTAAAGTAGTGTGCAGTTTTAGTTTGCATTCCTGATATGATTCAAGACATGTAATATAAAAATAAAAATGTAAAAACAAAAAGAAAAGCCAAATTTGTGCAAAGTCTTGAAGCTCTTTGTAACCTTCAACTTATGCACAATTCTGTTTTAGGTTAAAGAATAGGCATTGTTTGAGCTATACCATCTCCACTGTTACCCTTTGGAATTTTAAAATATAAATTATTAGTTTATATCATTTTGTATCTACATTTTTTTCACAAATTTGTCCTGCCTTATTAAAGTTCTGTAAAATATTCTTAAAAGGAAAAAAAATGTTCACTTTGATTGAAAATTTTGCTCAGATGGACTGATAATTGCATTCATCTTGTTTTTATACGAGAAGGTGCCTCAAGGATTCCCTGTTGGATTTGTTTAAAAGGATTTTTATCTTCTGTGATAACTTTGCTGTGTACTAGGAACTGTTAAAAACAAAAACCTGTTACTAAAGAAAATCTCTGAAATGTGATAAGTTCTTATACCAAGTCAGTTTCATGTGTCAACTTCCACATTTCTGTGTATTATTTCATTTTGTAAGATGTTTCAGAAAGTAATATTTTGCACAGTTAGCAAACTTTGTATGTCATCTCTTTCCTAAAGGTGGCATGCAGGGTTGACATGAGACAACTTTTACATTTGCATGTGAATATCAAGTACACACTTGGTTAGCCTTTGAATACAAACTCATCTGTTCTTGTTTTTCAAGAATTTCGAGACATAAAGTTGTATGTAAAGGAATATATTAAGTTGATGTTTTCTAGTTAGATTTACTTCAAAAGAGTAAATCAACTTCAGTATGTACAAATGATAGCTGTGAAACTGTAGAATATTCTTATGTCAGGCTTGGGATTCATTGTGAACTCCAAAATTAGCCTGAAGGACCAGCCGGGCAAAGCATTTTCTTAATGTTCAGAGGCCAAAAGGTAGACAAAAACCCCTGCAAATCCTACCTCCTTCAATAGCCTTCAAAGAAAATACTCCTCAGTGCTGTCTTTTTCATTCTTTGGTCCCTGATTTCTTAGGGTTCCCACTTCATTATTTTTGGGGTGGCTCTGAGCATTAGGAGACTTAATCTTTGATGGCATTGTTTTAACTTTGGGATTTCTAGTGCATTTCAGAGTCTCTTGATTTGGTTTGACTTCAGTGAGGACCACAGCTGCCTCCTAGACACAGAGAAAGGGTCTCCTGCATATTGTGTTGTTAAGACCTTCAGAGAGGGAACCAAGCAGGCCTATGGAATTGTAGGAGTTTCCTGGCCTGGATCTTCCAATAGGAGCAAGTGACTCTGAGCTGGTTTCTAAACCAATACCCTTGAAAACCAGAGCCCAGGAAAGGCAGTGCTATGTGTGATTCTCTGGAGCTCAATTCTATGCAGTTGTACTGATGTTTCATTAAGTCACTGTGTATTTTTAAGTACTGATACATTAAAATTTGCTTTATGAAAGATGAGTAAATTTTCTAAATACTTGGAAATTTTATTTCCTTGTTAATGTCTACAGATCAGGGCAGGTAACTCAGAATAGCTTAATAGCTTAAATGAAAGTTTTAAACACACACACACACACACACACACACACACACACACACCAGGAAGCTATTTTTAGATTCTTCTGGCTTTAGCACCCTCATTATTTTTCTCTTATTGAAAAAACACTTTATCTCCTGTACATCTCATAGGTTGCAGGATAATTTGGATATAAGTAATTTAATCTGAGCAAAAGTATAGTTTCTCTTTCATTTTGACTCTTTCAAGTAATAATGACTTTTATTAGCCAGTCTATTTTCTTGTTGCACAGATCTTAAGACGTGCACTGATGTGTTGTTGGGGAGACAGTGGTGCAGTGTTCTGGGGAGAAGGTCACTGCTGGAAAGATGGACGTTTCAGGAACATTGCTAACTTTGGTTTCAATTTCAGTGTTCAGTCATTTAAAGATTTTTTCAACCTAAAAATATCATCCTGGTATAAGTATCAGGTAAGAAAATTAAAGTTTTTAAAGTAAACTTCTCTGCAATATGCATTTGGGTTTTACTCTCTGGTACTGTAAAGAACTTAAAGTGATTCACTCTTGGTGGGTCCTGAATCCAGTATTCTTTACCCTGACTGTTTGGATAATTAAAGTTCCTTTATGTTTTCTATAACCTGTGGGATCTTCTTGCAGTGGTTATTGTGTGTGAAATTTTTTTTCTTGATGTAGCCATGTTATATTCACTCATATGTTTCTCACAGTCTTTTCATCTTACCCAGAAACCGTGGTCTGTGTACATTCCCGTTTAGCCCACAGAGGGACCGGCACTCCACAGGCTCAGCTCATTACGAAGCTAGGGTTTGATCTCCCTGCTGAAAACCAGGCTCCATTCTAGTGTTCATTCTCTTGTTCACCGCCATGCTCATCTTCCTTTTATATGTGTGATAGTTCTCTTCCATTTTCAAAGGGTGCAGTTAGACTTACTGTTATAGGATGCTCCTGAAGTTGTAGTTCAATTAGAGAAACAAAATGTGTTTATAGGAAATTTTAAGATGCAAACTTTTTAAATTATATTATTATTATTATTATTATTGTCTTTTTGAGGCAGGGTCTCCCTGTACCCTGTAGCCCCAGCTGACCTGGAACTCACTGTGTAGGCCAGGCTGGTCTTGAATTCAGAGAGATCTGCCTGCCTCTACCTCCCAAGTGCTGGAACTAAAGGCCTGCCACCACACCTGGCTTTAAAATGCAAACTTTTTTTTTTTTTTTTTTGGTTTTTTTGAGACAGGGCCCCCAGCTCTCCTGGAACTCACTATGTAGACCAGGCTGGCCTTAAACTCGCAGACATCCACCTGCCTCCCAAGTGCTGGGACTAAAGGCGTGCACCACCATGCCCTGCCAAAATGCAAACTTTTTTAATGAGTGATAATTGCTGAAAGGATTATTTCTTCAGCCAGCAAGATGACTCAACAGATAAACATGCTTACCACTTAGCCTAATAACCTGAGTTCTGTCCCCAGAATCCACATGGTGGAAGGAGAGAACTGACTATCACAAGGTGTCCTCCTGCCTACACACACACACACACACACACACACACACACACGCCATATAAATAAATATTAAAAGCTATTTATTTGATGAAGGCTATTACATTTTATCCCAATCATTGCAGTTTGGTATTTTTATTTTATGTGTATAAGTGTTTTCTTGCATGTGTCCCCAAGCACAGAGGCCAGAAGAGGGTGGTGGATCCCCTACTGTTAGGTTCAGGGAAGAGAATTTGAGGAACATAGGGACATAGGTAGACTTTATTTTCCCTGATAAAATACAGAGTATTAAGATTATGGCTACTGGGGGCTGGAGAGATGGCTCAGTGGTTAAGAACACTGGTTGTTCTTGCAGAAGACCTGGGTTTCAAATCCCAGCACCCACATGGCAGCTAACAACTATCTGTAACTCCAGTCCCAGGGGATCTGACAGCCTCTTCTGTCCTCCGAGTGATTGCGCAACATGGGTGCACTTACCTACATACAAGCAATACATGCATACACATAAAATAAAAATAATAAATATTTTTTAAAGATATTATGGTTACTGTCATGAGTTAGCACAATGATGAAAACCCATACTACCATGAAATTTACACCATATTTGAAACAATGTAGAATAATACTAACATTAGATCCTAACAGCAGCACTGAAAACCAGGGATCATTGGCTTCTACAATTAAAATTTAGTACAAATTGTGCCAGATATGGTGGCCTTTAATTCCAGCACTTCGGAGAGGCAGGTGGATTGCTGTGATTTTGCGGCCAGCCTGATCTACATAGCAAGTTCCTGACAAGCCAGGGCTACTGGGAGACCTTGTCTCTAAAACAAACAAAACAACAACAAAAAAAACCACTTTGAACTTTGTACATATAAATTATGCTCATAAATTATATGAGCAGTCTTCCTGTGATGGGTGACCAGAGTAAAGAGGCACCTTTGAATATGCGAGGTCTTGGAAGATTGTCTTTTCATTTGTTGGTTGTCAGATGGCTACTTACAGCAAATAGGCTCAGATATAGCTCAGTGGTAGGACAGTCCCCAGACAAGAGCAACAAAAACAATAAGTTAGCTGAGCTTATGTGCCTGGTTCCAGCTGCTTAGAACACTGAGGTAGTAGGGTCCTTTGAGCCCAAGAATCTGAGACCAGCCTTGACTCTGTTTTAGAAAATAAAGGTTATCCTATGATTACAGCTTAGTGGTAGAGTGCTTGCATGGCATGTTCGGTGCTGTGGATTCTGTCCCAGCAACACAGAAAAATAAATGGAGGTACATAGCTATAATCTCAGCACTCAAGAAACTGAGGCAGAAGAATCACATACAGTTCTCATTCCTGTTCAGAAATTGAGCAACAAAAGAAATGGGCTTGTTTTAGTATTCAACATCTTTCATTTCTATGCTTGTAGGGACTTGCTACTAGAAAAAGGTAAAACATCTTTAGATGGATTTCTCAGAAAGCAGAGAAAGTATACTTCAGCCCTTCTATAAGTTTCAGGTTGTCCTTGGAACTTACCCAAAGTTCTGATTTCCATCAGCTTTCTCATTGGTTAATTACAGTACAGTGCAGAAGTTAAAAAGCAGAGGCTTGAACTGCAGAAATGGCTCAGCGGTTAAGAGCAGAAAACCCAAGTTCAATTCTCAGCATCCACATCAGCAGCTCACAACTGCCTGTATCTCCAGCTCCAGAGGATCCAATGCCCTCTTTGTCCCCTATGGGTACGTCACTCATGTGTACATTTACAGAGAGAAAGGATACACATAATTTTTAAAATAATAACAGTTTGGGGCTGGAGAGATGGCTCAGAAGTTAAGAGCACCTACTGCTCTTCCAGAGGACCCAAGATCAATTTCCACCAACAACATCTGGCAGCTCACAACTGCCTGTAACTCCAGCTCCAGGGGGATCCAACATCTCTGGATTCGGTGAACACCTTTACGCATGTACACATACACATGTATATACACATAACTTAAAATAATCAAGTAATTAAAAAATTTTGAAACTATGAGCTAGGCATGGTGGTACACACCTTTAATCCTAGGACTTGGGTGGCAGAGGTAGATGCAGGTAGCCCTATGACAGCAAGGCCATCCTGGTCTACATAGTGAGTTCCAGACCAGTTGAGACTATGTGGAGACCCTGTTTCAAAAAAAAATTTTTTTAAATACCGACTTTGGGGCTGGAGAGATGGCTCAGTGATTAAGAGCACTGGCTGCTCTTGCAGAAGACCAGGGTTCAAATCCCAGCACCCACATGGCAGCTAACACCTGTCTATAACTCCAGTTCCAGGGGATCCCTTGCTCTCTCTGGCCTCTGTAGGCACTACATGGCATGAGTGCACTTACATACATGCAGGCATAACACACACATAAAATAGTTTGTTTTTTTTTTTTAAATATGGACTTTATACCTTTCTGAAATTCCCAGACTAAGTAGATGGTCTTTCAGTTGAAGCTTTGAAAAGCATGTACTGAACTATTTGAAGCAGAGTTCAATTACAGTACAAACTTAAATCAGTACTTGGGTAGGCAGTGTTTTATATATGGATGTCTGTCCTAGTTTGCTTTCTCTGTTGCTATGATAAAACACTAGCCAAAAGCAAGTTGGGAGAGGAAAGGTTTTATTTACTACAACTTACAGGTTACAGACCATCATCAAAGGAAGCCACAGATGGAACTGAAGCAGAGACCGTGAAGGAATGATGCTTACTGGCTTGTTCCCCTGACTTGTTCAGCTATACTCTATCCTGGCCCACCTATCTAGGGATGGCATCATTACCATTGGCCTGGGCCCTCATACATCAGTCATCCATCTAAAACAGAAAATGCCTCATGGACATGCCCATAGGCAAATCTGATGGAGGAACTTCCTCAGTTGAGGTTCCTCTTTCCAAGTGACTCTAGTTTGTGTCAAGTTGACAAAAAACTAACCAGCACAATGTCCTTAGCTAATGAGGGTCTTTTAAAATTTGTTTTTAATTTGGTGGTGGTTGGTTTTATTTGTGTTTAGACAGGGTCTCTTATAGCCCAGGCTGGTCTTAGATTTACTGTGTAGTTGAAGTTGACCTTGAATTTCTGATCTTCTGTCTCCACTTCTCAAATGCTGGGATTACAGACCTATTCCTTGTTTATTTTGGATGTGGGAAGGAAAGGTTACTTTTGTAGGAATTTGTGTGGTTACTAATTTCATCTTAACTCACAGGTTTGTTTGGTTTGGTTTTTATTTTTGCGGGGGAGTGAGGGGAAGGATTAGTTTGCTTTGTTTGGGTTTTTTGTTTTGGGGTTTTTTTTTTTGTTTTTTTTTTTTTTTTGGTATTTTTGAGACAGGATCTCCCTGTAGCCCCAGGTAGTCTGGAACTTACTATGTAGACCAAGCTGGCCTTGTGCTCACAGAGATCCTCCTGCCTCTGCCTGGTGGCTTCACAGTTTTTTAAAAATTCATATTGCAATATTATTTTGTTTTGGTTTTGAGGTGGGGTCTCACTGAGTTGCCTAGACTGACCTCAAACTCCTGGACTCAAGTAATCCTACCGCTTTAGCCTCCTTAGTAGGCTAAGAGTACTCTTTCCTTCTGAGAGTACACAGTACTGTACTCTTGGTGTTTTTTTTGAACTCACAGAGATCCTCCTGTCTCTGCTTCCCAAGTGCTGGGGTTAAAGGCGTGTGTCACCATGTCTGGCTGGTGTGTGTTTGTTTGTTTGTTTGTTTGTTTTGAGACAGGGTCTCCCTATAGCTCCAGCTGTCCTGGAACTTACTATGTAGACCAGGCTGGCCTTGAACTCACAGAGATCCGCCTCGCCTGTCTCTGCCTCCCAGGTGCTGGGATTAAAGGCGTGCTCCACCACGCCCCACAGGCTAGTGTATTTTTAACTGCTTTGTAGGAACCTTTTCTTTTTTTTCTTTTTAGGAGTGGGTCGCACTGTGTAGCCCAGGCTGGCCTGGAATTTGCTATGTGAGACAAGGCCTCACATGTCCTAGGCTGGTGTGGAATTTGCTATGTAGCCAAGGATGACTTTGAACTTCTGATCTTCCTGCCTCTACCTCCCTTGTGCTGGGATTGCAGGTGTATACCACCATACCCAATTTTATGCAGTGCTGAGGATGGAAGCCAGGGCTTTGTGCATGCTAGACAAGCCCTCTACCAACTGAGCCACTTCCCCAAGGCCTTGTGGGAACGTGTTTCCTGTGTTTTCTCCAGGTAAGTTTTGCTGTAATGTCAGACTGTTAGTACAAATGCTGTGTTCATTTCTTTGTGTTTATTCCTATTTGAAACAGTTGACTAACCTGGACTAGGCACTAGCAGGATGGAGAGAGGGGACCGGTCAGTCCAGGGTCAGCTCTCCTTTGTGGGTACAATAATGAATTCTTTGTATTTTTTTTTTTTTCCAGACAGGATCTCATCTTGTAGCCTCAGCTCACCTGGAACTCACTATGTAGACCAGGCTGGCTTTGAACTCAGAGAGATCCTCTTGCCGCTGCTTCCCAAGTACTAGGATTAAAGTTGAGCCACCATGAAGTTGAGCTGGGCATGGTGGCACATGCCTTTAATCCCAGCACTTGGGAGGTAGAGGCAGGCAGATCTCTGTGAGATTGGAGCCAGCCTGTTCTACATAGTGAGTTCAAAAAATAATAATAAATAAATAAATAAAAGATAAAAAATAAATAGTAAAGGTTAAAAAAACAAAATGGCTAATGACTAGCCAGTCAACAGTCAGAGATCCAGAAGTTGTAGAGAAAGCAGCTACTCGTAGTAGACAGAGCAGAGTAGGCAGAGACAGAAGGAGGGTTAGGAGAGCCCACTTCTAGTCACAGCTGAGCTTTTGACCCTTCCTAGGAGCATAGTTACCACAGGAGCATGCAGCCCAAAAGGTGAAACTATGCTTACCGAGTCTGGTGACAGCTGGGGTTGCCAAGTACCACATGGACATACACCAAGCATCATTTGCTGTCTGAGACTGAGGTTTATCTGGATGCCCTGTATTTTCTCTACCAGTCATAGAGACGGGTACAGGCTGGCACAGCCAGTGCTTCGAACGAAGCTGCTGCAGAGGGGAGAATATGGTGGGAGGGTACACCGGCTGGTTCCAAGGAGCTGAAGGGGACTATTGCAGGGTCTTCCACACTTGATTTACTGTCTTCTACCCAGAATAAGATAGAACCAGCACCCAGAAAGGAAGTGCCTGCAAACTGTTAAACTATCCATCTGTACTCTCTACTGACATCTGGATATTGAGGAGGCAAAGGAGAAACATTTCACAAAGCCAGGCAGAGAAGGCTGAGACTCCTCTTACAGGCTTTGGATGCTTTTGTTTTCAGATCTTCACTTAAATCACTGCCTTTAAGAGGACTTTTTCCCCCTATTTCAGTACTAGGAGTTGAACCCAGGGCCTTGTGCATACTAGGAAAGCACTCTACGACTGAGTTGGGTCCCTAGCCCTCTTCTCACTTTGAAATAGGATCTCCCTAAGTTGTCCAGGCTGTCTTGAACTCCTAGTCCAGGGAGGTTTTCAACTTCTCCTGTCTCAGCCTCCTGAGTAGCTGGGACTACCTGCATGTGCCTTCCTTTCTTTATCCTATGATCCAAATCTGTAGCTTCTCAAACTATCTTAGATTTTTCTTTACAGCATTTGTCATAGTTTTTAATATTTATTTGTGGTACTTCTTAAATTTATTTATTTATTTATTTATTTATTTATTTATTTATTTATTTATTTATTTATTTAATGTGTGTGCTTGTGTGTGTGCCCATGGTCAGAGGACAATGTGCAGAAATCAATTCTCTTCTTCCACTCTGTGGGTTCCAGGAATGGAACTGAGGTCAGGCTTGGCAGCAAGTGCCACTGAGCTGTCTCTGAGCCCATGTACTATTTCTTTAAAAAGTATCTCCTGGCCTTGCTGGCTGCCAACCTAGCTGAAAAATGCAAATTCAAGGTTCAGCCATAGATCCTACCTCAAAAGGGACTGTATTAGTTACTTTTCTGTTGCTGTGATAAAACATAGTAAACAAGGCAACTTAGAGAAGGAAGAGTTTATTTAGCTTATGGTCCCAGGGATATGGATCCATAAACTCAGGGACTGCATGGTGGAAGGATGTGGCTAGAGCAGAAAGCCAAGCTATCACATCTTCTAGCAGGCACAGGAAGCAGAGAGCAACTGGAAGTCTGGCGAGGCTTAAGAATTCTCAAAGCCGCAGGCCGTGGTGGTGCACACCTTTAATCCCAGCACTTGGGAGGCAGAGGCAGGCAGATCTCTGTGAGTTCAAGGCCAGCCTGGTCTACATAGTGAGTTCCAGGACAGCTGGGACTAGAGAGACCCTGTCTCAAAAAAGACCAAAAAAAAAAAAATTCTCAAAGCCTAGTCCTGACACCCTCCTCTGGCCTCCAGATGTGGGCACAGGCACATACATGTGTACACTATACACACAATACAAAGTTTTGTTTGTTGGGTTGGTGAGTTGGTTGGTTTTGGTTTGTTTAGTTTTACTTGGTTTTTTTTTTTTTTTAGACTGGGTCTCCCTGTAGCCCCACCTGGCCTGGAACTCACTATGAACTCACAGAGGCCTGCCTCTGCCTCTGCCTCTGCCTCCTGAGTGCTGGGATTAAAGGGATGAGCCACCATGCCCAGCCTGAGTTTTAATTTGCTTTTTAAGACAGTCTCCCTGTAGCTCCAACTGACTAGAACTTGCTATGTAGATTGGGCTGGCCTCCATCTCTCAGAGATCTGCCTACCTGTATCTCCTGAGTGCTGTAATTAAAGGTGTGCATTCCACACTAAATTAAAACTGGTGACTATTAGCCGGGAATGGTGGCGCACGTCTTTAATCCCAGCGCTTGGGAGGCAGAGGCAGGTGGATCTCTGAGTTCAAGGCCAGCCTGGTCTACATAGTGAGTTCCAGGACAGCTGGAGCTACAAGGGAGACCCTGTCTCAAAAAGACCAAAAAAAAAAAAAAAAAAAAAAAGGTGGCTATTTATGCAAACTCAGTCAATCCAGTATCTGGTAAGTAACAGGTTCTCAATAAATGTTGAATTTGTAGGAGGGATTAGTTAAATTGTTGTCTCAAGCAGTCTGGTTTTGACCAAATAGCTGCCTGTATATACTATCAGCTGTAGTCCTGGGTATCAGGGTGGCAAAGGCTGATCTCAAAGGCCAAGTCAGGGCCAGTTCTATCATGTTAAGTAATTTCAAGTTCATTTACAGTGAAGACTGATCAACCTAGTTGGTTTTATACTCAAGATGAGATGCAGGTTTGAAACCAATAAACTGTTAGCTGGATGGCAGAGCCTAAATTACTGATCTGTAAAAGCACAGAAGCACATTGGAGAGGGACAGAAGCTTGTCAGCAGAAGGGAGAAAATGAGTCCATCTTCCCATTTGTGCAGCTGTTGCCTGGTTCAATGATGACATAACTAGGAGGACATGAGAGACATCTGTACTCATAGTCTGCAGAGTGAGAAGAGGGCTAATGACAGACTGCAGCCCCATCAGTGATGAAGGAACATTAGCAAAGAATGACAAAGACCCACTCCACCTGGAATACTGAAGGTCTGCAATACCACAGACACCAGGAGGAAAAAGCCCAAGAATATAGAAATATCAAAAATGTGGAATAATAAAGAAGTCATGGGGTAAAGAATCTGCTGAACTTAGCAATACAAAAATTCATTTGGTGACTTTGAACCTCTTCAGGGAAGTAGCAGAGGCAAAGTGAGCTGTAATGGCTTGACAAGCAGGAGGTGAGGACAGTCTGCCAGGACCTGCCTGTCTGCTTTCCTTGGCTATGGAGGGAAGAAAGAAGGAAAAAGAGGAAGCAGTCATTTAAGAAAAAATGGGTATAATTAACTGTAAAAAACGAAAGTAAATGACAGTCCTGCAGAGTTTGACAGACTGTGGTAGAAAGCTTGCCTAGCATATACAAGGGCCTTGGTGCCTGGGTGCACGCATGTGCGCGTGCACACACACACAATGATTTGGAAATAAAGATTCCGCATGGAGCTCTTTTATATATAGAAGTAATTTAACCTACATTTAATGTGTTGTCACATTGTGGTGCTGCACACTTGTAATTTGAGCATTCAGAAAGGCGAAGCAGGAGGACCTGAAGTTCAAGTCCAGCCTGGCCTGTATAATGAAACACAATCTTTAAAAAAGCAAAATAGAGCCGGGCGTGATGGTGCACGCCTTTAGTTCCAGCACTCAGGAGGCAGAGGCAGGCGGATCTCTGTGAGTTCGAGGCCAGCATAGCGAGTTCCAGGACAGCTGGGGTTACAGGGAGACTGTCTCAAAAAAGGCCAAAAAAACACAAAAAGCAAAATAGAATGCATGTATTTTGTACAAGTGTATTCTGGTTCTTAAGTTGCTTAGAAATTGAAGCATAGAACCAGGTATGGCATAAGCTTACAGTACCCAATTCCTCAGAAGGCTGAGGTAGTGAAATCACTTGAGGTGTGATTTGAGACAAACCTGAGCAACACAGCAGGGCTGCTTCAAGAGGGAGCTGGGATCAATGAAGCAGGCCTATAATCCCAGCACTGGAGGAATGGGGAACAGAGCAGAGATAGGGTATCACTGCAAGGCCAGCCAGAGATACATAGTGTGGCCCTGTCTGAAGAAAGAAGGGAGAGGAAATTGAATGGTACATTAAGAAATGCGAACTAGAGGCTGGAGAGATGGTTCAGTGGTTAAGAGCACTGGCAGCTCGTACAGAGGACTAGGGTTTCATTCCCATCACCCACATGGCAGCTAACAATTGTAACTCCCAGTTCCAGGGGACCCCATGCCCTCTTCTGACCTATAGGCATTGAATGCACATGGTGTACTTATAAACGTTCAGGCAAAACACTCATAAAATTTATTTTTAAATGTGAATTGTAAAAGTTTTGTCATTATTTCAAACCAATTCTGTCAAAGTTCTTGTTTCCCCTTACCTTTGCCAATGCTAGCTGTTAACAAGCTTTCATTTTTGTCAATGCTGAGTGCAAATTTCTCCTTTGTATTATATTTCCTTGATTACAAGTAGTCATTTTTTTCATGACAGCTGCCTATATGTACTTTTCTGTGACATGTTTATTCATGTCTTTTGTCCATTTTGTGATTATATTGTTGGGTTATTTTGTTTTGTTTTTTGATACAGGGTCTCACTATGTATTCCTGGCCATCCTGGAATTTGCTATGTAGAACAAACTGACCTTGAACTCACAGAGACCTGTCTGCCCCCCCCCCACCCCGTGCTGGGATTAAAGGTGTGCACTGTCACACCTGACCCTTAATTTTTAAAAATTTTATTTGTATGAGTGCTTTGCCTGCATGTATGTGAGCCACATACATCCAATGCCTACTTAGGCTAGAAGAGGGTGTCATCCCCTGGAACTGAAATTTCAGATGGTTATGAGGCCATGTAGGTGCTGGGAACTGAACATGGGTCATCTGCAAGAGCAGCCAGTGCTCTTAACTGCTCAGCCATCTCTCTAGCCCCTGTTGAATTACTTTTTAGTCAATTATTAGGACTCTCTTAAGCAATTTGGATAATCAGTCCTTTCTGGAAAAATGTAACATTTACATGGGTCCCTCAATAGTAGATCAGATTAAAATGCCTTATGGTGACCCCACAGTCAAAATCTCAAATGCTTGAGATGAGTACACAATAGAATTTTACCTCCCAAGTGCTTCAGTCATTGCATTACTGATATTTGATTTGTGATAACTGTATTTCTTATATTTTTTTAAGGTAAAGGATGGTAGAAGAATGTGAACAAGGAAAAAGTGACTATCAAATGACTATAGACATTAAAGAAAAAAAAACAAATTACAGCTGGGTGTGGTGGTACTTACCTTTAATCCCAGCACTGGGGAGGCCAGCCAGAGCTACAGAGTGAGACCCTGTCTTAGAACAACAACTGAAAGAGCCTCGATAAAGTTAAAATATAGTAGCTTAAAACTTCACTGGACTGACTAAGCAGGCGGAGCTGAAGAGGACAGTCAGTGAATTGGGACAGTCCATGGAGGCAGGGTGATAACAGGAAGAGAGCCCAAAGTAGAATGGAGGATCGAAAAACTTGAAAAACTTGAAACTTGGATTTCCATGAGGAGGGAAAAATTGGAATTTAGAATGGTCAGTGTTTACAAAGATATTGGCAATACTCAGAATTGTTTAAGATAGAAATTTGAGGGCAGGAGAGGTAGCTCAGTTGGTAGAGCACTTGTCTAGCATGTTCAAAGCCCTAGATCAATCCCCAACATCACAAAAATACTTGTCATACAGCATCCTCACATGGAAGCATGAAATAAGGACTTTTTTTTTTTTTTTTTTTGGTCTTTTTGAGAGAGTCTACCTGTAGCCCAGCTGGCCTCTGCCTCCCAAATGCTGGGATTAAAGGCCTGTGCCACCATGCCCAGCCAAAATAAAGACATTTTTAGAGGGGGAAAAAATGTGCTAACATTTCAGGAAGAAACCCATCTCAGCACAGATATTGAGCTGCAAGAAGAAATGAGCAAAGCCGGGTGTGGTGGTGCACACCTGTAGTCCCAGCACTTAGGAGGCAGAGGCAGGTGGATCTCTGTGAGCTCAAGGCCAGCCTGGTCTACGTAGTTCCTGGCCAGCTGGGGCTACAGGGAGACCCTGTTTCAAAAAGACCAAAAAAAAGAAATGAGTAAAGAAATGGGTACATCGGAAATTTAAATAAACTGTAGAACTGGGGGAGATGGTACAGCTCTGTAATTCCAGGACTCCAGAGGCTGAGGCAGGACTGCATTTGAGGCTAGACTGGGCTAGTCCTAGTGCTGAAGGAGACAGGATTTCCTGCAGCTTTCTGGCCAACCACTCTAATGGTGGTTGAGCTAATGAATTGGTGAACTATAGGTTCTATGAGAAACCCTGTCTCAAAAAATAAGGTGAGGAGCAGCTGAAGACACCCAATGCTGACCTCAGGTCGCCACACACATATACCTACACACACATATACTCTGTGAGACAACAAAAGAATATACATGACAAAATGATAAAAATGTTCTCGGGCTTTTCAGAATGGTAGCAATAATGTTTTGGTCTCGAGATAAAATTTAAAGATTATCATCTAGAAATAGGACACAGAACTATAACCTCCAAGAAGAGAAGAGATAAAGCAAAAGGAACATGAAAGAAAGGTGGACAAAGGTCATAAAATCAGCTGGGCGTGGTGGCACATGCCTTTAATCCCAGCTCTTGAGAGGCAGAGGCAGGCGGAGCTCTGTGAGTTTGAGGCCAGCCTGGTCTACATAGTTCCAGGTCAGCTGGGGCTACAGGGAGACCCTGTCTCAAAAAGACCCCCCCCCAAAAAAAGTCATAAAATCACATCATAGAATTAATGCCAAAACTGGTAAACACGAGAGATGTAAGTGGACTATGCCGATGTGTTAAAAGACATTGTCTTGAAAAAGAGACTATTTGATTGGATTTTAAAAATGAAGAGTCTTCTAGCCAGGCATGATGGTGCACACTTTTAATCCCAGCACTTGGGAGGCAGATCTCTGAGTTTGAGGCCAGCCTGGTCTACATAGAGAGTTCCAGGACACCTGGGGCTACAGCGAGCCTGTCTCAAAAAGACAAAAAAAAAAAGAAAAAATTCTGTGTCATGGGAATGTAATAAATTTTGTGTTCTTTTTCCAATTAACAACAAATTCAAGATGTGCTTCTTATAACATCTTAGAAAGTACATAAAAAATATACCAAGGAACGTCTTTGTTTAATTTGTATGTTTATTTTTGTATTGCCTGAATGTAGGTAAGTGCACCTGTGTTGTGCAATGCCGGCGGAGGACAGAAGAGGCTCGTGGATCCCCTGGAACTGGAGTTAGGATAGTTGTTAGCTGCCATGTGGGTGCTGGGATTCGAACCCAGGTCTTCTGCAAGAACAACCAGTGTACTTAACTGCTGAGCCATCTCTCCAGCCCCTCAAGGAACTTTAAACAATGCTAATGTTGCCAAATGATTACCAAACAAAATACATATGCACATATCTTTAAGTACACATATGATACTTAAGGAAATACTGATTTGGGGGGCTAGAGAGATGGTTCAGCAGTTAAAAGCACTGGCTGCTCTTGCAGAGGACCCAGGTTTGATTCTCAGCACCCATATGGTGGCTAAAAACCGTTTGTAACTCCAGTTCCAGGAGAATCCTATGCCCTCTTCTGACCTCTGAGGGCATTGCACAACATGGGTGCACTTACATACCTTCATACACATAAAAAAATTTTTTTAAAGAAAAGACTGATTTTAAAAGAGGATAGAAGGGTAAAAGAAGCTGAAAGATGATTGCTACCAGTTGGCAGAAGTCAAAGAGCTAGGAACACCTACTTTACCGTGCATACAAATTCTTTTCACATTTTTAGTACAGATGATCTTGAGGAGCTATGTGGTGTATAGAAACAGCTTTAACAACATTCATAGACTGCCCACTAACCAGATGCTGGTGGCATCCCTCCCAGTTGAGAACTAGCACTTAGCCAATCATTAGGCGTTAATTAGGCATGGAAAAGCTACCCTTTTATAGAAGGCAATTATCCAGATCATCCAAGACTGTTTTTAAACTTGAAGGGGGGGGGCTCTTCTGAAAAAGTGTCTCCATCGACCTCCAGTTTATGAAATTCTATTACAAATGTTCATCTCAGAAAAGTTCGATTTTTTTTTTTTTTTTTTTTCTTTTTTGAGACAGGGTCTCCCTGTAGCCCCAGCTGTCCTGGAACTTTTTATGTAGACTAGGCTGGCCTTGAAAACTCACAGAGAACCTCGTGCCTCTGCTTTCCGAGTGTTGGGATTAAAGGCCTGCGCCACCGCCCAGTTACTTTTCTTACAACTGAAAATAGTAAATTTATCAAAGATTAAAGCAGCCTGCCCACAGCACCACCACTAGTGAGTGAGTGGCCAGACTAGGACCAGAGGTGGAGAAGACTGCCAGTACACGGGCCTCCCTGAAGCAGCCTTGCACTCTGGAAATACCTGAAAAATCACTTAATTCTGTAGGATTAAATTATTCTGAGGGCCGAATATTACAGAAAACCGATTTGGGCTCATTACAGCGGGGAAACGTTCAAGTATTAGGAGCCAAGGGAGAAAAAAGTAATCGTGCAAGTGAAAGAGCAAGACCTCTAAAAGAACAGGAAAGCGCTGCTAGTAAGGTTTTAGGCAATTTTTGCTTCCATTTCTAGTGGCACTCTACTGAGGACCGGTCCTGGCCATTAGTCATGAATACTGGGAAGCCCTGTTAGGTCTTTGTACCACTAGGTTTGGTCAGGAAGACTTTGTGCATGTGTGCCAGAGTCTGAGCAGCGTCTGCTTCCAGACCTTATCTGAAAAATCACAGGGCTGCGTTAAGGAGAAAACTACAACTCCCATCATGCCACGCAAGCAGAGGTGGGCAGGCACTTGTCGCGCGTGGGCGGCTCTGACCAATAACGACTGTCGTTACAGCGAACAGTTTGGCTTCGTTTGTAAAAGGCCGCGGCAGCTGAAGAGAGGCGGCGAGGGCGGTCGCCGGTGAGAGGCTCCTGTAGGCGCGGGGCAGGTAAGGGGAGGTGGTGCGTGAGGCCAGGCGGCTGGGGTACAAGGCTAGGGGCGGGGGTCGAGGTGGAGAGAGTGTATAGGGAATTGTGTGCCCCGGCAGCGACGCTTCTGCTTGAGCCTTACTTAGTACCGGAAGTTAGCGTTGCGCGGAGGATGCTGGGAGGCAGGTCGCTAAAGACTGATGCTTCGTGGTCGGGTGCTCCCGGAAACTACGCCGAGGCGCGTGCCCCGCCACGCCTATTAGGGGCACGTATGTGTGCCGCATGGGACCGGGACCAGCTGCGGTCTGATAGGAACTCAGCAGATCCCACACTTAGTAGATGCCAGCGAGCTGTGACGCTTTGGTCCAACCTGACACAGTTTCATCCCTAAGATGGGTAAATAGCATGTAGCTAAATCAGCGAGTTTCAGGTTCAGTGAGAAACCTTGTCTCAGAAAATAAGGTGGAGAGGAATTGAAGACACCAGACATCGACCTCTGGCCTCCACATGCACCATGCACTTACAACTGCACACACACGTGTACACACACATAAGAAACATTAAAGCCGGGTGTAGTAGTACATACCGGTGATCCAGGCGAGCCTGGGCTATGTAGCAAGACCCTGTCTCAAAAAAAAAGAGCACTATAAGTATTGAACCTAAGGGCCTGGGAATGGAAATCAGCATAGTTCTTGCCTAGCATTCTGAAGCCCTGGTTATGACCCCCAGCATGGCTGTAATCACAGTAATTAGAGGTAGAGCCAGGAGGATCAGAGGTTCAGGGTTGTCTTCAGCTACGTTGAGAATTTGAGGCCAGACTGGAATATGTGGGACATTGTCTCAGAAAAGGTTGGGGGAGGTGTCATAGCACAATCCTATAATCTGTAATTGGGGTGGAGGCAGGGAGATCAGATTTCAGGGTCATCTTGGGCTACATAGCAAGTAGAGGCCAGGCTGGACTATAGGACAACTTATGTCAAAATATAAAGTAAAATAATGGCCTAGTAAAATGGCTCAGAGGGTAAAGGCACTTGCAACAAGCCTGATGTCCCGAGTTCAAGCTCTAGAACCCATAAGGTTGAAGGAAAAAAAATTCCACATGTGGCACACACATACCTTTAACACATACACACAATAAATATTTTTAAAAATAGGACCAGGCATTGTTGCATATGCCTTTAATCTCAGAACTCCAGAGGCAAAGGCAGACAGATTTCTGTGGATTTGAAGCTAGCCTGGTCTGCATACCAAGTTCCAGGCCAGGACCCTGTGTGCTCATTAATATTTGTCGACTTGACAGGAAAACTCAAGAGTCACCTGGGAAGAGGGAACCTCAAATTTACGAATTACCTCCATCAGATTGACCCGTGGGCATATTTATAGGGCATTTTCTTGATTGATAATTGATGTAAGAGGGCCCAGCCCACTGTGGGTACCACCCCTAGGCAGGTGGGCCTGGGCATCTAAGAAAGCTAGCTGAGCAAAGCCAAGGGAAGAAAACCAGTAAGCAGCATTCCTCTGGTTTCTGCTCCAAGCTCCTGCCTTGAGTTCCTGCCTTGACTTTCCTCAATGAAGGATTTTAACCTATAAGTCAACCCTTTCCTTAGCTGGGTATGGTGGCACACTGCTTTAATCTCAGCACTTGGGAGGCAGAGACAGGAAGATCTCTGTGAGTTCAAGGCCAGCCTAGTCTACATAGTTCCAGGCCAGACAGCAAGATCTCATAACAAAACCAAATAAACAACCCAAGCAAATAAACCCTTTCCTCCCCAAGTTGGTTCCGGTCAGCGTTGTATCATACAGTAGTAGAGAAACCAGCTAAAACATCCTGTCCTGGACTGGTGAGATGGCTTAGTGGGTAAAAGTACTTGCCTTCAAGCCTGATAACCTGAAATAAATCTCTGGGATCCACATGGTAGAAGGAGTAAACTGACTCCCAGTAGTTGTCCTCTGACTTCCATATACGTGCTGTGGCATGTGTACACACACACACCAAAAACAGTTTTTAAAAAACCTGTCCCAGGGGCTGGAGAGATGGCTCAGCAGTTAAGAACACTGACTGTTCTTGCAGATGTCCTGGGTTTGAATCCCAGCACCCACATGGAAGCTAACAACTGTCCATAACTCCAGTTCCAGGGGATCCGACAGCTTCATCTGTCCTCCGTGGCCATTGCATGACACAGGTGCACTTACCTATATGCAGGCAATACATGCATACACATAAATAAAATATTTAAAAAAAAACAAAAACAACAACAATAGAAAATAAAATTTAAAATAGGGGATTGCTGGGGAGATAGTTCAGTCATTGAAGTGCTTGCAAAAGAGTTCAATACATAGCACTCAAAAGAATCTGGGTGTTTGTGGTAGTGCCTGTTTTGTAATCCCAGCGCTGGGAAGGCGGAGAGGCAGATCCTTGGAGTGCTCCAGGCCAGTGAGAGATCTTTCCTCAAAAAAAAAAAAAAAAAAAGTCAGGTGGTATGTGAGGAATGACGCTCAGGGTTGTCCTCTTGCCCCAACACTCAACGTGCACACGAGCATGCACGCTCACACCAAAAAGCATTGAACTTAATATTACATATATTAAGCTGATACCTGCAACTTTGAAATGCATAAAATAGGATTTTTGAGGGCTAGAGAACAAGACACAAGATGAAGCACAAACAGTAAGTGTTAAGTGTAAAATCTCATGGCTAGGTGCATAGGGTCTCACTGTATAATGCCGTATTTTTCTACACTGTGGGGAATATCACATGTAGTTTCACACTCAAGAGTCTGGGCTAGTGGAAGGTGCTCTGCTGACTTTCCTGGGTGACCTCAGGCAAATTACTAAAGTTTCCATCTATACATATAAGTGGTTGTTTGCATACTGCTGATTCTCACGTGAAATTCAAATGAGTGGATGGGAAAGCACTTTGAAAAACAAAGCTCTAAAACTGTGATGTATTACCTTTAGAAAAGACGATTGACTAATTCTTTGCTGAGGCTCCTGGTGCTCCTTTCAAGCTCTGTGTTATGGCATTACCATTGTTTTACCTTTGTAGTTGGAAGCACAAAACATTTAACCCTTTCTTTAGCAATATCTGTCAAGTATTTCTCAAATTACTGCCAAAGAGTTGGATGTAGATTCTCTAGGATTGTTTTTGGTTTTTGTTTGTTTTTGCCTGTTTTTGTGCTGAGGATCTCTTTGTGCTGAGGACTGTTTTGAGCAGTCCCAGGACTGCTCATAGGTAAGCTACTCTGCTACTGAGTTTGCCTCTGTTTTCTGTTCCTAAGTGGAAAGAACCATGTTTTATTGTAGGACAACCATCTCTTGTTTTACTTTAGGCTGCCTAGGTCTCCTCTTTGGAGGGAATCTGACTGGAACACTGGGCAGGAGCTTTGCCACTGGCTGGGTGAAGAGGAGTAAGCAGAATATTTGTATTGTGACATCAGAGCTTGACCTTCTGAAGATAGGCTGAGCAATATCACTGCAGACAAGCATGCTTCTCTCTGTGCTGTCTGATCATCACAAACTGATGAAGCAAGCATTAGGTCTCATGGATACAAGCTCTTCTGTTCTCCAGATGCCCTGTCAGCTAGTACAGGTATGTCCTAGTTTGTTCTTCATTGCTGTGACAAAACACTCTGACCACTACCATCCTGGGGAGGAAGGGGCTTATTTATCTTACATCTCCTGGGTCACAGTTAATCAGGCAGCCCAAGGTAGGAACTCAGGGCAGGAACCTGGAGGCAGGAGCTAGAACACTGGCCATGGAGGAACTCCGCTTACTGGCCTGCTCCCTGACCCCCGCTTAGCCTGCTTTCTTATACAACACAGGCCCACCTGCCCAGGGGTGGCACCATCCACAGTGGGCTGGGCTCTGCCACGTCACTCATCAAGATCCCCCACAGACATGGCCACAGGCCAGTCCAATAGAGGCAATTCCCCAATTGAGGCTCCCTCAACCCAGGTGTGTCAAGTTGACACTAAAGCTATCCAGCACAAGGTAAGACTGGGCTGACTTCACAGGAGCCGCTTAGAAAGGAGATAACTCGTTTTTCCTGTGTTCTGCTTCTTTGTTTCCTTTAGAAAAGATGATATACATGAGGCAGGGTCTCATGTAGCCTAAATTGACCCTGAGCTCCTTTGTAGTGGAGGATGATACTAAACTTTGTACCTCTTGCCCCCACCTATTGAGTGCTGGGATTACATTCATGCACCACAACCTGTGGCTTATTTGGTGCTGGGGCAACACTAGTCCTGAGATCTCGGCTAAGGAAGGAGGATCTCTGAGAGTTGACCAACCTGGGCTATATAGTGAGTTGGAGGCCAGTCTGGACTACAAAGTAAAACCCTGTCTTTTAAAAAAATCTCTCTCACTGGGTGTGATGGCACATGCCTTCAATCCTAGCACTTGGCGGGTCTTTGTGAGTTCAGGCCAGCTTGGTGTACATAGTGAGTTCCAGGACAGCTGGGGCTACAGGGAGACCCTGTCTCAAAAAGACAAAAAAAAAAAAAAAAAAAAAAAAAACCAACTCTCTCCTCTCTCTCTCTTCTCTCTCTTTTTCTCAACTGTGTGAATGTATACTTCTTGCTGATGGTCTCGTCTTTCTAGGGACTGTGAAAAATGGAACCAAACTCTCAGAGGACTAAAGTCCCAGCTTTCTTATCTGATCTTGGGAAGGCCACATTGAGGGGAATCAGAAAGTGTCCCCGATGCGGCACATACAATGGCACCCGAGGGCTGAGCTGTAAGAACAAGACATGCGGAACCATATTCCGCTATGGTGCCCGGAAGCAGCCTAGCGTAGAAGCTGTCAAAATCATCACAGGCTCTGATCTGCAGGTCTACTCTGTGCGACAAAGAGACCGAGGCCCTGATTATCGATGTTTTGTGGAGCTAGGTGTTTCAGAGACAACAATCCAGACAGTAGATGGGACAATCATCACTCAGCTGAGCTCTGGCCGATGTTATGTCCCCTCATGTTTGAAAGCTGCTGCTCAAGGTGTTGTGGAGAACCAGTGCCAGCATATTAAACTGGCAGTCAACTGCCAGGCAGAGGCTACCCCTCTGACTCTGAAGAGTTCAGTCCTGAATGCCATGCAGGCCTCCCCAGAAACCAAACAGACCATCTGGCAGTTGGCCACGGAACCCACAGGACCCCTGGTACAGAGGATCACTAAAAACATCTTGGTGGTGAAATGCAAGGCAAGCCAGAAGCACAGCCTAGGGTACTTGCATACATCCTTCGTGCAGAAGATCAGCTCCAAAAGTTTGCCAGAGCGCCGCTTCTTCTGCTCTTGTCAGACTCTGAAGTCACACAAGTCCAATGCCCCCAAGGCCGAGGCAGCTCCGAGCTGCATCCACTTCTTTGCTTGCCTCTGTGCCTTTGCCAGCGATGAGACATTGGCTCAGGAATTCTCAGATTTCCTAAATTTTGATGCCAGTGGTAGGTGGGATGATTGATGTAGTTACTGTGTTCTAAAATGGCAGTGAAAGCGCTCCCCTGATGGCATGTAGAGATTGTCCCTACAACCTTCAGGCACAGCTGCTAGACAATTAGATGAAAGGCATCCTTTTTGTATTTATTGTGTTATGTGTGCATGATGTGTGTGTGTGTGTGTGTGTGCACAATGTGGACATGGTACATGCATGATGATCAGAAGACAACTGTAGAGTTGGTTCTCTCCTTCCATTTTTATGTGTGCTCTAGGGATTGAACTCAGGTGGTCAGGTTTGAGCACGTAGAGCTTTTACTTTTTGAGCCATCTTGCCAGCCCATACTTTCCTGTTTCTTTGATTTGGTTTGGTTTGGTTTAATTTGGGTTGGGTTGGGGTTTTTTTTGTTTGTTTGTGTTTTTTTGTTGTTGTGTTTTCTTGGTTTGGAACTCAATTTGTAGACCAGACTGGCCTTGATTTGACAGAGATCCACCTGCCTCTGCCTTCTGAGTGCTGGAACCGAATAGTTGCATCACCACCCCTGGCTTTTTTTCTTTTTCTTTTTCTTTTTTTTAACAAAACACAGGGTTTTGTTAAAGTAGCCCAGCTAGCTCCAAACCCCCAATCCTGCCTCTCCCAAGTGCCAGAATTACAGGCCTGAGCCACCATTCCTGGCTAGCATTCTTTCTTTCAATTCAGTCAGTATATGGTGCATAAAGGTTTGGTTGGACAGCTAAAACTAGTAATAAAGGGACTTCAACATTTTTATTGAGACAAATTAATTTAGCAAAGTTAGGGGTTTTGTGTGTGTATGTGTTGTGATGCAGAGGCCAGAAGGGGACAGCAGCTGTTTTCCTCTAACACTTTCTCCCTTTTTCCTGTAAGAACTCAGATCCTAATGCTTGCATACCAAGCACTCTTACTGACTGTACTATCTCCTCAGTCCAAAGTTAGCTTTACTCTGATTTTTTTAAAAAATCACAGACCCTCTATGATGACAAAAAAAAGAAAAGAAAATCTTTTATTACAGTTTTCTTTTTCCTTTAAAAAAATTTATGTATATGAGTATATTGCCTACCTGTATGTAAGTACACCCCTGTCATGCAAAGCCTGCAGAGGTCAGAAGAGGCCATTGGGTCCCCTGGAACTGGAGGTATGGATGATTGTTAGCCACCATGTAGGTGCTAGGAATCAAACCTGGGTCCTCTGCAGGAGCAGTCAATGCTCTTAACTACTGAGCCATCTCTCCAGCCCTATAAAAAATAAGTCTTTAGTGACTAGAGAGATGGTTCAGTGTTTCATCTGCATATAAGTGCACCACGTGTGCAGTGTCCACGGAGGCCAGAAGAGGGTTTTGGATCTCCTGGAGCTGGAGTTACAGATGGTTGTTAGCTGCCATGTGGGTACTGTACTGGGAACCCAACCCAGGTCCTCTGCAAGAGTAACATTAACCATTAGCCATTTCTTGAGCCCTCTTTCTTTTTTCTTATCCCTAAAGATGATGCTCAAAATACCTTTATCTTGGGGCTGAGGAAATGGCTTGGGTTAAGAGCACTAGCTGCTCTTGCCAGAAGACCTGGGTTCGCATCCCAGCACCTACATGACAGCTGAGAACCATCTGTATCTCCAATTCCAGGGGATCCAAAGCCCTCTTCTGTCCTCCTCAGGCACTGACAACATGGGTGCTCTTACATACATATAAGCATAACACTCATAGACATATTAAATAAATAAATAAATAAACCTTTATCTCTTTTGTTGACATTTTTGGGTTTTTCATTTTTTAAATTTATTATTATTTTGTCTTTTTTGAAACAGGGTCTCCCTGTAGCCCCAGTGGGCCTGCAGGAACTCACCAGAACAGGTTGGCTTTGATCTCACAGAGATCCACCTATCTCTGCTTCCTAAGTGCTAGGATTAAAGGCATGTGCCACCACTCCCAGTGATTGATTTTCCTTTTAAAGATTTAGTTTTGTGCCAAGCATGGTAGCACACGCCTTTAGTGCCAGCACTTGGGAGGTAGAGACAGGCAGATCTCTGTAAGTTTGAGGCCAGCCTGGTCTCCATAACAAGTTCCAGGCCAGCTGGGGCTACAGGGATACCCTGTCTCAAAAAGACCCCCCCAAAAAGATTTATTTATTAAATAAGTTCTTTTTTTTGGGGGGGGTTTCTCCCTATAGCCCCAGCTGTCCTAGAACTCACTGTGTAGACCAGGCTGGCCTCAAACTCACAGAGATCCACCTGTCTCTGACTCCCAAGTTCTTGGATTAAAGGTGTGTACCAACATGCCCAGCAAGTTCATTTATTTTAAAAAAAGATTTTGTTAGTCTTTATGTGTATGAATGTATTGCCTGCATGTAAGTGCACCCATGTCATGGAGAGCCTGCAGAGGCCAGAAGAGGGCATCAGAGCCCCTGGAACTTGGAGTTATGGATGGTTAGCCACCATGTGGGTTCTGGGAATCAAATCCGGGTCTTCTGCAAGAGCTCTTTAACTGCTGGGCCATCTCTCAAGCCCCATTGTTGATTTTATGAGTATATGTGTGTGCCTGGGTTTATGTATGTGCACCACATGTATGCAGTGCCCTTGGAGGCCAGAAGAAGTTACCAGATCCCCTGGAACTGCAGTTATAGGTAGCTGTGAGCTGCCGTGTAGGCGCTGGAAACTGAACCCAAGTTCTCTGTAAGAACAGCAAGTGCCCTTAACCACTGAATACTGCTCTAGCCTCTAAAGATTTATTTTTATGGAACTGGAGAGATGGCTCAGTGGTCAAGAACACTGACTGCTTTGATTCCCAGCACCCACATGGTGGCTAACAACCATTCGTACCTCTAGTTCCAGGTGATCCAACGCCCTCTTCTGACCTCAGACATTGCATGACATGGGCATACTTGTACACATGCAAGCAATACACTCATACACATAAAATAAAAATAGCCGGGCATGGTGGTGCATGCCTTTAATCCCAGCACTTGGGAGGCAGAGGCAGGCGGATCTTTGTGAGTTCAAGGCCAGCCTGGTCTACATAGTGAGTTCCAGGACAGCTGGGGCTACAGGGAGACCCTGTCTCAAAAAAGACCAAAAATAAATAAATTAAAATATTTTTTTAAAGATTTATTTTTATTATTTTATGTGGATATGTGTGTATTTGTGTGAATGTATACTATGTGTGTGCATGCCTGCAGAGACCAGAAAAGGGTGTCATCCCCTGGAGCTGGTATTCCAGGCAGGCAAGACCCAATGTGGGTGCCTCAGCAGCAAGCACTCTTAACCACTAAGCTATCTCTTCAGCCTCTATTTTTTACTTTGTGGTATGTGTGTGTACATGTTCACATACCATAGGGAGTGTTTGGAGGTCAGGAGGCAACCATGATTCAGGCAGGGCCTCTCTTGTTTGCTGCTATGCTTTGTACTGCAGATGAAATTGCCTGTGAGCTCCCAGGGGCTTCTCCTGTCTGCCTCCCATCTTTCTGTAAGAGTGCTGGGATTACAAATATGTGCTACCGTGTCTGACTTGGTGTGTGTGTGTGTGTGTGTGTGTGTGTGTGTGTGTGTGTGAGAGAGAGAGTTTTTGAGAGAGGGTCTCCCTGTAGCCCCAGCTGGCCTGGAACTTGCTATGTAGACCAGGCTGACCTCAAACTTGCAGAGATCACTTGCCTCTGCCTCCTGAGTGCTGGGATTAAAGGCTTGTACCACCAAGCCTGGCTCCCATGTCTGACTTTTTTTAAAAAAAAGTCTTTTATTTTTATTTTATATATGTGTGAGTGCGTGTATGTATGTATGTGTGTTATATGTGTGCCTAATGCCCATGAAGGCCAGAAAAGCATTGAAATCCCCTGAAACTGCATAGGTGGCAGTAAGCCACCATGTTGGTGCTAGAAACTGAACCCAGGTCCTCTACAAGAACAGCAAGTGCACTTAACCACTGGGTCTTCCAGGCCCCATGTCTGATGTTTTATACAGGTTCTGGGGATCTAAACCCAGGTTCTCAGGCTTGCACAGCAAGAACCACTGAACTATCTCCCCAGCCTCTCTTTTTTTCCTTTGAGATAAGAGCTCATGCAGCCCAGGCTGGCCTCAAATTCATTATGTAGATACATCTGACTGAAATTTTTATCCTTTTGCCTCTACTCCCCAAGTGCTGGGATTTAAACTGTGCCACCACCCACCCCTAGCTCAAATTTTACCACACCTAGCTTCATTCCCAGCTTTTAATTCATCTGTTTTTCTTTTTCTTTTTTTTGGTCTTTTTGAGATGAGGTCTCCCTGTAGCCCCAGCTGTCCTGGAACTCACTCTGTAGAACAGGCTGGCCTTGAACTCACAGAGATCCGCCTGCCTCTGCCTCCTGAGTGCTGGGATTAAAGGCCGGGCTGTTTTTCTTTTTTTTAAAGGCAGTGTCACTGTAGTCCATGTTGACCTATAATTTATGGTGCTCATCCTGCCTCAACCTCCTGATAGTATTACCAAGCGTGTGCCACCATGCCCAGTGACATGTTTGTCTTGTAAACACTTATTTTTGTAAATATTTTTTAAAATATTAATCTTTTTAGGATTTTATTTTTAATTATGTGGATGTGGATGTGCATGGGTATGTCCATGTAAGTGCAGATGCCTGCAGATGGCATTGGGTACCTCTGGAGCTCTAGTACAGGCAGTTGTGAGCTGCCCAGCATGGGTGCTGGGAACTGAACTCAGGTCCTCTGCTAGAATAGTATTAACTATTAATCACTGAGTCCTCTCTCCAGCCCTATTTCCTTTTCTTAATGATGGTTAGCTGCCAACAACTCCCAGCTTTTTAGTTTTACTCCACAGAAAAGAGAGAGAGTGTGTGTCTGTGTGTGTGATTCTGTGTGTGAGTCTGTGTGTGTGTGTGTGCGCACACAATGGAGATGGATGGAACCCAGGGCCTTGTGCATTCTAAGCAAGTGCTCTGCTACAGGAGACACTCCTGCATTCCAGAGCAAAGCTCACATGTTTGGTGGAGCTCTTTCAAGGATCTTATTTTATTTTATTTACTTATTTATTTATTAATTATTATTATTATTTTATTATTTTTGGTATTTTTGACACAGGGTCTCCCTGTAGCCCTGGCTAGCCTGGAACTCAAAGATCCACCTGCTTCTGCCTCCCTAAAGCTGGGACTAAAGGCATGCCCCACCATGCCCAGCTCCTCAAGGAACTTATTTTAAAGCAGTCAGTCCATCCATTGTTCTGTAGATTTGATTTTTTTTTTCTTTTTTTCTTTTTTGGTCCTTTGAGACAGGGTCTCCCTGTATCCTCAGCTGGCCTAGAGCTTGCTATGTAGACCAGGCTGACCTTGAATTTACAGAGATCCTACCTCTGCCTCCCAAGTGCTGGGATTAAAGGCATACACCACACCTAGTTTAGGATTTGAATTTTTATATAAATTAATTTTTCTTTAGTTGGGGGCACATACTTTCTCTTGAATAGTATTAGTGATTCAAAAACCTCTTTTTTTTTAAAGGTCTTAAGGAGATTATTGTGCCCCAGTTAGGCTGTCATTCAGAATCAACTGTATCAACCTGTGAGTCTGCTGCCTCTAAGCCAAGGAAGAGGAAGAAGGATGACGTGTCTGGTGAGACTGTTTCACTTGTATTTGGTGTTACCATCTTTGGAGATTGTTTCACTGTCTTTGTATGAATCTGAGAAATTACTTTGCTTTTTTAATAATGATCTTTTAAAATTATATTCTGGGTATGGTGGTTGTCCGCCTTTAATCCCAGCACTTGGGAGGCAGAGACAGGTGGGTCTTTGTGAGTTCTAAGCCAAGCCAGAAAGAAAAAAAGAAAGAAAAGGAAGAGAGAGGAGGAAAGAAATTATGGGTTGGGATGGGAGAGGGTAAGTTCAGTGGCAGAGAACATGCTTAGTATGCACAAAGTCCCATAAAGGTCAATCCCAGCACCAAAAACACTTGTGACGGTGGTTAGTTCTATTTCTTACTCTAATTTAGGTATACAGTTGTTTGCATTTTCAACAGTGGAGATAGGTAGGTAGATAGATCCATAGATAGATATAGATCTTCTTCAATTTAAGGGTGTTTTACCCTGATAAACACATAGTAGAAAATAGTCTTTTTTTGCCCCTTTTTATTGAATTTTTTAAAATTTCATACAATATATTTTGATCATATTTAGGTTCTCTCTCATGTCTGCAGACCCACTTACTGTCCCCTGCCCAATTTCATATACTCTATTATATATATAAAAGTTTAGAGTAAAATTTCACCCAAATGTTCTTTGGTGTGGATCCATTCACTGGAGCCTGGTTAACTTACCAAGAGTCACACCCTTAAAAGAGAGTAACTCTCCCCGCTCCCCACAGCCATCAATTTGTAATAGTTTCTCAGGTGAGATTGGAGTTTACCCATTTCCCCACATCTATGCTGGGATTTTGTCTAGTTTGAGCTTGCATGGGACTTGTGCATACTGTCACCATTGCTGTGAGGTCATATGAATAACTTGCCAGTTGTCTGGAAAATTCTTGTTTCCTTGTGATCATCCACCACCTCTGGCTCTTACAATCCTTCTACCCCCTCTTCTACAATGATCCCTCAGCCTTGGGAGGCAGAAGTTTGATATAAGTGTCCTATTCAGGAATAACCACTCTGCAGCCTTTTGTTCTCTGCACGTTTGCCACTTGTGGGTTTCTGTGTTAATCACCATATACTACATAGGAATCTTCTCTGAGAGTTGGAAGATATATTAATCTATGGAAATAACAATAACAATAAATGATTAGGCATTGCCTTAATACTATATCTGTTTAGCAGAATAATAGTATTAGGCGCTCTTTCCTCAATGGCATGTGGCCTGCTTAGCCGCATGTTTCTAGTCCTAATAGCAGTGCCAGGTATGGGTTCTATCTTGTGAAGCAGACCTTAAATCTAAGTAGAATGTGATTTGTGATGTACACACAGAGTTCCAGGCCACCTGGGGCTACAGGGAGACCCTGTCTCCCAAAACAAAACAAAACAAAAAAAAAAAAGAGATGGCTCAGAGAGAGCACTGGCTGTTGTTCATAACTCCATTTCAGAGGATCTGATACCCTCTTCTGGACTCTTTGGGCATTGCACATGTGTGGTTAACATATATCTAAGCAAAACCACTCATAAAATAAATAAAAATTTTATTTCAATATTTTATGTGTACGAATGTTATGCTACATGTAATTAAGTGCACCCATGTCATGCAATGCCCACGGAGGGACAGAAGAGGCTGTCGAATCCCCTAGAACTGAAGTTACGGACAGTTGTTAGCTGCCATGTGGGTGCTGGGATTCAAACCTTGGTCTTCTGCAAGAACAGTCAGTGTTCTTAAGCACTGAGCCATCGCTCCAGCCCCAGCAAAGATTTTTTTAAATGAGGAAATTACAGGTAAAGGTAGAGTGTGGGCTCCTAAGCATGATTAGTGTATGTAGTCATAAACACTTTAAAAGTAGCTCACAGTTGTAGCCCCCCTCTGCTACCTGGTAGCCTCCCTGTTTGACCAATGGCGAAAAACAGATTAGACCAAGGGTCCCCTAGTTATGCTGCTGGGGAGCAATTTCATTGCCCTCCTGAGCGCTTTTATTGGGAGTTCAACGTTTGAAGTTCACAGAGTTTACATATGATAAGTGCTCAAGCAGTGCAAAACACATAGGGATTATCCATTATAATGGGTAAGAAAGCAAGCACAGCATCTCCAAGGCCATGGAGACTGACCCAGTAACTGACCTCCTTTGATGTCTGCAGAAACATAAAAGGGGATGGGGTGGGGGGAACACTATACCTGCCCTGGCATCCCAAGGACAGCTGTCTAATTGGTCTTATTTCCCAGCATCCTGGGAGCAGATTGCCCCCTTCTCAACCTTCTACATCAACAAAGTCCAGAGAAGTCTGTTAATTCTTAAGTGAGCCAAGTGACAGGAGTCTGTTAACTATTAGTGATCAGAGCACTGTTGTCCTTAAAGGACAAGGGGGGTCACTACACACAGTGGGCTGGCTAGGAGGTCCAGCAGGTAAAGGAACTTGGCATGTAAATGTGATGACCTGAGTTCTATAACTGGAATCCACATAAAGGTGAGAAGAGAGAACCAACTCCATAAAGTTGTCCTCTGACCTATTGGAACTGGCGATCAACAAGATGGTTTCACTGGGTAAAAGTGCTTGCTGTGAAAGCATGAGGACCTTAGATTGAATCCCCAGTGCCTCACATAAAAGCTGGGTATGACTGTGGTACCTGTAAACACCAGCATTGTGGAGTGGACACAGGTGGATCCTGCGAGCCCACTGGCCAGCCAACCTAGCTGAAATGGCTAGTTTCAGGTCAAATGAGAAGTGCTATCTCAAAGAACAAGATAGAGAGTGGTACAGGAAGACACCCAGTGTTGTCCTCTGGCTGCCACACACATAAGTATGCTCACCCCCCACACACACATACACACAACACCTACACATCTGTCACACATAAACATGCTCATACACACTCAGAGAAAACTGAACCAAATCAATAAAAACAAGCCACTTGGAGGTAGAGGCAAGAAGATCAAGAATTTAAGTTGTTAAATTTAGTCACATGGTGACTAACAACAGTCCTTAATTCCAGATCCAGGGGAATCCAACTCCCTCTTCTGGCCTCTGTGGGCACTGTGGGCAGATGGTGCACTTACATGCCTGCAGGCAAAAATGCTCATACACATAAAGTAAAAATAAACGTTTTTTGAAAATCAGATAAACCTGGTGTGGTGGTGTACACCTTTAGTCCCAGCACTGAGGAGGCAGAGACAGGTGGATCTCTGTGATGGAGGCCAGCCTGGTGTACATAGCAAGCTTTAAGCCAGCTAGGGAACTGGAGTTACAGATGGTTGTTAGCCACCATGTGGTGCTAGGAACTGAACCTGGATCCAGGTACACTTACATACATGCAAGCAAAACACTCATACACATAAAATTGAAATTTAAAAAAGTTCCTAGTTTCTTATGAGCAGCAGAAAAGGTTAAAATTTTGTGGTTAAGAGCACTGAATGCTCTTGCAGAGGACCCAGGTTCAACTCCCAGCACCCACATAGTGGCTAACAACCATCTGTAATTCCAGTTTCAGGGATCCAGCACCTTTTTCTGACCTCCACACCGCATGGGTACATATATGGAGGCAATACACTCATACACATATGATAAATAAAAATAATTTCAAAAAAAAGTTAATGCTGGTTCTTTCTAGAAACCGTAAAGGTATCCTAGACATTAGCAAAGATTGTTTATGTTTTAGATGCTTTGGAAATTAATATCAAACCAATTTTTATAACTGCAGGCTTTTAAAGTTATTTTTTCTTTCGTTTTATTTGTGTGTGTGTGCATAAGTACATATATGTGCACAAGCATAGATAGAGGTCAGAGGACAACATCTGTGTTCTCTCTTTCCACCATGTAGGTCCCAGGGATTGGACTCAGATTGTCAGCCTTGACAGCAGGTACCTTTACCTGCTAAGCTATTTTACAGGCCTGCAGACTTGCAGACTTTTTTTTTAGGCAGGATCTCACATAGGTGAGTCTGATTTGAACTCACTGTGTGGCTGAGGATGACCTTGAACTCCTACTAATCTTACTGCCTCTACCTTCCAGATACTAGAATTACATGCCTGGCTGCAGACATGGTGTTTTGTTTTGTTTGTAATTTTGTCTCTTTTTCTTTCTGAAGTTGAGGACTGAACTCAGATCCTTGAACTTGCTAGGCAACCACTCTTACTGAATTAAATCCTCAGCCCCTTGCTTTGTTTTGTTTTGTTTTTATTTTTCTTTTTTGAAACAGGATTGCCTATATCCCAGGTGATTAGTTACTTTTCTGTTGCTGTGATAGAAACACCATGACCAAAGGAACTTATCAAAGGAAGAGTTTCTTTAGCTTATGGTTCCAAAGGGTCAAGAGTCCATCATGGCAGGGAGGCATGGGGGCAGAGGTGGCTGGAGTAGGAGCAGAAGCTAAGCACTCACATCTTCAAGCAGGCACAGTAGGCAAAGCTTGACTGAGACTGGAGATCCTGCAAGGCTTAAGAACTCTCTAAGTCCGCCCCACTGATGTGTGTCCTCCAGCATGGCCATACCTTCTAAGACCTCCTAAAACAGCACCACCAACTGGGGACGAAATGTCCAAATACTTTGAGCCTGTGAGGGACATTCACATTCAAACCACTACACCAGGCTAGCCTAGAACTCATTCTGTAGTGGAAGATGACCTTGAATTTCTGATCCTCCTGCTTCCATCTCCTGAGTGCTAGATCATAGGCATGCGCTACCACAAATAGCTTCTGTGGTGCTGGGGATTGAGTCAGGGCCTTGTCATGTTAGGAAAGCACTCTATCAACTGAGTCACATCCCATCTCCTAGACATGTTTTTAAACACTGTAACCAATTTGTGATTTAGGTACACAAATGATGCCTCAAGATGCAGTAAGCAGCAGTCTAAGGAAGAGTGGCCTGAAAAAGCCTATGGTTGCTGCTTCATTGAAAAGACAGGGTAAGTTTCTCCTCCCTAGAACAGGCGTCAGGGGTGGTAACCCATCCAGAAGGAGTCCAGAGCAGTATCAAAAGAAATGTTGTATATTGTCTCCCAACATTAGAGACAGATTTACAGCAACTAATGTCTCTCCTACCCTGCCAGTTTCAAATAATACTCAAAAAATAAATTATGCAGGGCTGGAAAGATGGCTCAGCAAATTAAGAGTGTGTGCTGCTCTCTCATGAGGACTTTTGATCCCACTACCCACTCAGGCAGCTCACAAATGCCTGTAACTCCAGCTCCAAGGATCTGGTATGTCTTCTGGCCTTCTTGAGCACACTCCCTTGTGCACATACACTTACACAGATACACACACTTAAACACACAAAAATAAATCTTTTTAAAAATAAGCTATGCTATGTATATGGTGGTGCACACCTGTAATCCCAGCACTCAGGAGACAGAAGCAAGAGGATCACAAGTTCAAAGCCAGCCTGGTCTACACAGTAAGTTCCAGGACAGTTATGGCTACATGTAGAACTTGTTTGAGAAAGCCAAGATAAAATAATAACAAGAACAACAATACTAATAAAATATGGTTGTAATCATAGAGACAGAACAGATAAGTGGTTGCCAGAGGTTAGTGGAAAGGAGTCTTGCAGTGGTATTGTTTTGTGTCTTGACAGTGGCTGCAGTCACGAAAGTCTATACGTATACTATAATAAAATTGCATATAGGAATGTGCACACACCACCCAAATGAAACTGGTGAAATACAAATAAGCTTGTTTCCTTGTCATTTTCCCTAATGGATATTTTATGCTATGATTTTTTTAAATGCTATTATTTGGGGAATCTGGGTGAAAGGTTTACACGTTCTTGGGGTTTTGTGTTCTATTTTCTGAGACTATGTAGTCCATTATGGACTCAAACTACAGATCTCCGTGCTTCAGCCTCCTGAGTGCTTGGACTATAGATGTGTACTTCACATCCAGATAAGCTTTGTATTTTTAACAATTATATATCAAAAAAAGTTTTAAAACTACCTTTAAAAAAGCAGCGTAGAAATTCCTAAAAACAAAAATTTTAAAAACCCTGAATTGTATCTTTTTTCTTTTTGTGGTGCAAAAGATTGAACCAGGACATGTGCTGGCACATGCTCTCCACTGAGTTGACACATACCCCACCTACTCCCAGCTGTATATTCTGGCCCCATTAAATTATACCACCTGTTACTGTATTTCACAGTTACTCCAGGGCTTCAAGATTTTACCATTTCCCTCTTATTTAATAAGGAATATTCAAGCTGGGCATAGTGGTACATATTTTTAATCCCAGCACTCAGGAGGCAGAGGCAGGTGGAGCTCTGTGAGATCGAGGCCAGCTGGTCCCCATAGCAAGTTCCAGGCTAGCTATGGCTACAGGAAGACCCTGTCTCAAAAAGACCAAAATAATAATGATAGTAATTAATATTCATTCAATTTGCGTTTCTGAATACAAAGTTTTACACTTAAGTATAAAGATATCAGCAACCCAGTGAATGCTTTTCCTAAATTGTCTCTGTGTTCCACTTTTTTTTTCTTTTCTTTTTTTTTTTTTTTTTTTTTATTGAGAATTTATGTAACCGTAGCCAGCTTCAAAACTCACTGTGTAAGGGCTGGAGAGATGGCTCAGCAGTGAAGAGCACTGGCTACTCTGGCAGAGAATCCAGATTTGATTCCCAGCACCCACATAGTGGCTAACCACCGTCTGTAACTCCAGTTCCAGAGGATCCGATGCCCTCTTCTGACCTCCAAGGCCATTGCATGACACAGGGGCATTTACATATATGCAGGGAATATACTCATACACATAAAATTTAAAAAAAAACAAAACAAAAACATATTTTAAAAAAATTCACTGTGAGGCCATGCATGGTAGCACACTCCTTTAATCCCAGTGCTTAGGGGGCAGAGACAGGTGAATCTTTGTGAGCTTGGGGCCAGCCTGGTCTACATAGCAAGTTCCAGGCCAGATAGAGCTACGGGAAGATAATGTCTCAAAAAGACCAAAAAGTAACTAATTCATTAAAATTAAATATGTGTAATATTCTTTAATATGTAGTTTGCTGCTGGAAAGCTTTTTGTTTTTTTGAGACAGGGTCTCCCTATAGCCTCAGCTGGCCTAGAACTCACTATGTAGACCAGGCTGACCTCTGTCTCACAGAGTGCTGGGGTTAAAGGCATATACCACCATGCCTGACTTTTTTTTTTTTTTTTTCTTTTTTAATGTGTGTGAAGTACACCACATGAGTACAGTGCCCACAGAGGTCTAAAGAAGGTGTTGATCCCCTGGAATTAGAGTTATGGGTGGTTGTTAGCTACCTTGTGGGTGCTGGGAACCAAATTTGGGTCCTCTGGAAGAACATCCAGTGCTCTTAACTGCTGAGCATTTCTCCAGCCCTATATTAAGTAATCATAAACCCATTAGTTTCTGGGGGCCTTCACTTATTTTTGTAAATGAATTAATTTTTGTTCTTTTGATACAGGGTCTCATTTAGCCCAGGATAGCCTCAGACTTGCTGGGTAGCCTCAGTATGTTTGGAACTCACCTTCTTACTGCCTCCACCTCCCAAGTGCTGGGATATAAGCATGCACCATCATGCCCAGTATAAGTGGATTTTTATTTTAAAGGCTGTTATGGACCTAGAGAGATGGCTCAGTGGTTAAGAGCTCTTGCTGCTCCTGCAGAGGCTGGCCTCTAAGAGCACCTGCATGCATGTGCACATACAGATATGCAGGCATACACATAAATAAAAATAAATACAAATTTTTTGTTTGTTTTGTTTGGGTTTTTTTTTGGTCTTTTTGAGACAGGGTCTCCCTGTAGCCCGAGCTGTCCTGGAACTTACTATGTAGAGCAGGCTGGCCTTGAACTCACAGAGCTGCCTGCCTCTGCCTCCCAAGTGCTGGGACTACAGGTAAGCACCACCACGCCTGGCGTTTGTTCTGTTTTTTGAGACAGGGTCTCCCTGTAGCCCCAGCTGGCCTGGATTCGCTATGGAGACCAGGCTGGCCTTGGACTCACAGAGATCTGCCTGCCTCTGCCTCTGGAGTGCTGGGATTAAAGGTGTGCACCACCATGCCCGGCTTTTTTGTTTGTTTGTTTGTGTGTTTTAAATATAAATATTTTAAAATAGGGCAGTAGGCTCTATCTTAGTTGAAGAATTATTGCCAGCTGATTACTGCTGGGTGAGAAAGAGCTGATCTTCTTAAAGGAAGGGACTCTAGATAAGGTGACTAGACCTCAGTGGATGAGCTTGTACTGAGGGATGTCTGGGGACACTAACTGCATGAATTCCAGTGTGTATGAGAGGGTGCCAGTGGGGAAGGGGGTAAGTAGATGATTAAAATGTTCCATATGAAATACACAAAAATTCAATTAAAAATTTACAAAATAAAATAAAAAATAATGGGCTGGAGAGATGACTGTGGTTAAGGCACTTGCTGCTCTTGTGGAGGACCCAGATTTGGTTTCCAGCACAATCATCTATAACTCCAGTTCCAGAAGATCCAATGCCCTCTTCTGGCTTCCATGGGCATTGCACACATGGGTGTGCATCCAAAAATGTAGACAAAACACTAATACACATAAAGTTTAAAAAATAAAAAATAAGGCAGTCTGTTATCACACTGGACCTCATAAATATGTCAGTTATGTATGTTATTTAAAAAGAAAAAGCCCCAGAGTCTATTTCACCTTAACTGTTTTCTTTGGATTTCAGTTTCTTGTTCTTTTTACTGTATCAAACTTAAACTTTTCAAGCTTCAATTGTTTATTTTGAAAGAAAATTAAAGTTAATGAAAAGTGTTTTTTTTTTATTTCCTTTTTTAGTCTGTGGTCAGCTGTTAGATGAGGCACAAGTGACCTTGTCCTTCCAAGATTGGCTGGCCAGCGTCACAGAACGGATCCATCAAACCATGCACTATCAGTTTGATGGTAAGTACTACTGAAAGTGGAGAAAGTGCTCTAGTTCTACTCTGTTTGATAGGAAAAATAAGGGAACTTCAGTCCTGAGAGCACTGGGCTAAAAGAAAGTAAAGATCAAGCCATGTGTGGCAGTGCACACCTCAACTCAACACTCAGGAACCTGAGGCAGGAAGATCACCATGAGTCTTGAGCTATAGAATGAGATGTTGTCTATTAAAAAGAAAAAATGAGGAAGCAGAGTTATAACTCAGTGGTAGAACATTTACTTACCTAGCATGCATGAAGCCCTAGGTTCAGTCTCCAATACTGAGGAAAAAAAGTGCTGGCAAGATGACAGATGACCAGAGGGTAAAGGTGCCTGCCACCAACCCTGACAACCTGAGTTTAATTCCTAGAATGCCTATGATGGAAGGAGAACCTATTCTTTTTTCAATTTTTTTTTTTAAATAAAATATTTTATGTATTATTTTTATTTTATGTGTATGTATGTATTGCCTGCATGTAGGTAAGTGCATGCATGTCATGCAATGCCCTCGGAGGTCAGAAGAGGCTGTTGGATCCCCTGGGACTGTAGTTACGGACAGTTGTTAGCTGCCATGTGGGTGCTGGGATTCAAACCTGGGCCATCTGCAAGAACAACCGGTGTTCTTAACGGCCATCTCTCCAGTCCCCTTTTTTTCAATTTCTAAAAATATTTTGTTTATTATTTTTATGTGTATGAGTGTATTGCCTACATGAATGTAAGTGTAACTGTGTTATGCAATGCCTGCGGAGATCAGAAGAGGGTATGGGATCCCTTGGAACCTGAGTTATGGATGGTTGTTAGTCACCATGTGGGTGCTGGGAATTGAACCCGGGTTCTCTGCAAGAGCAGCCAGTGCTCCTAACCACTGTGCCATCTCTCCAGCCCAAAGAGAACCCATTCTTAGAAGTTGTCCTCTGGCCTCCACAGGTATACTATGGTACACATTGAAAGAAATAAAGGGTAATAATTAATCATAATTAGAGTACAAGTCCGACAAAATGGAAGTTAGAGATTGGAGGGAATAAAAGCACAGCAATGAATATACTTGCCTTCTTTTGTGTCTTTGTGCTAGTGTGCCTGGTGGGGCAGATACCAAAGCTTTAGATGTAGTATAAATTAGGAGGGAGAGTAAAAGCTCAGAAGCCTACACATGAGGCTAAGATAGTAAGATAGTTGTATCAAACACATAGCACCCTGAGCAAGGAAAGCTGAAGCACACAGATTGTGTTTGAATGTGATTTGCTGAGGCAGCATGGAACCCTAGCAGTCAGAGCAGAGGCCGGTCTTCAGGTAGTTCTTGCCCACTTCCCTGAAGCATCCTGGATGAATGGTATAATAGGTCATCTTCACTGTTAGTTTGACTGGATTTGAAATCATCTAAAAGACACTCACTGGGTGTATCTGTGAGGAAGATTCCAGAGAGATTCAACTGAGGAGGGAAGGACAACACTGAAGGTGGGTGACATCATCCCCCGAACTGAAATGAGGCAGAGAGTGAGCAGAGCACCAGCATTCATCTCTCTGCTTCCTGACTTTGGTCACAGTGAGATCAGCTGCTTTACACACCCGCCACCACAGCTAGAGCCACTCTGCAACCATAATGTACTGTACCCTTAAACTTCCTGCAAGATGAAACAAGCTCTTCCTAAGTTATTTTGTCAGTTATTTTGTCACAGTAACAAGAAAAGTACCTAATACTGGTTTTCTGACTTTGTACAGAAAGGAGCTCAGTGATTTTTATTTTTATTTTTTTGAGATAGGGTCTCACTATGTAGCCCTGGCTGGCCTGGAACTCACTGTGCAGACCCAGCTGGCTTGGAACTGCCTGCCTCTGTCTCTGAATGCTGGGATTCCAGTTGTGCTCCATCACACCCTGCCTGAGCTCTGTGTTTGGGGGCATTACTGGACTCTTTAAACTGTGAGAAATCTTCCTCCTGCTAAGTAGGAACATTGACCTCTCTTACTTCTCAGTACTTCTAGTTCTGTACTCTCACCACATGGAACAGGAGGGGTCTGCGTCCCCTGACACTGCATGCACCAACTATTAGTTACTTTTCTTGTTGCTCTGACAAAATATTAGACAAAAGAGGGGCTGGAGAGATGGCTCAGCAGTTAAGAACACTGGCTGTTCTTGCAGAAGACCCAGATTTGAATACCAGCACCCACATACCAGCTAACAATTGTCTATATAACTCCAGTTCCAGGGGATCCGACAGCCTCTTCTGTCCTCCCCAGGCATTGCACAACACAGGTGCACTTACCTACATGCAGGCAATTCACACATACACATAAAAAATAACAAATAAAAATTTTAAATATTAGACAAAAGGAACTTAAGGAAGGAGAGCTTTATTTTTTCATGGCCTCACATCTTTACGAAATGGCCTGTTCGGGCCTTCTTGCAGGGAATCTGAACCTGTCATGTATTGCCTGGAACTCAGTGGCTTTCTGGAACCTAGTACAAGCCTCTGTACTTGCTGGAACAAGTACCCTGGAACTTGCTTTTTGCGTGCCTGAAAAATTAGCACCATGTGAACAGTGATGCCAAGTTCCACTGCCAGCTCAAGGTATACTCTACCCCTCTCCATTCTACCACCATTGTACTGGCCCCCAGACACTTGGTAACTGAGTCTGGGGGAAACTTCCCTAGGCAGTTACTTGCAGCAGAGAACCTCACTTGAGGCTCTCTCCTTTCTAATGAAATTTGCATTTTCACAAGCTAGAGTCTTCAGTGAGTGAGGTATTCTTTAGCACACTTTTCTTACTGTCCTAGTGCAAAGCATGGGACTAGTCTGTTAAGATTACAGCTGCTTTTCCTCCACTTGCCTTGCCTGCAGCTTTAAAATCTTTTTGCTCCCACTGTAAACCTGACTAAGCAGTGAGCAGTAGCAATGCCACAGCCTAGATGTTGTATGGCCTTGAAATTTCTTCTACCACATAGCTTAGTCCATTACATTTTTGTGTGTGTCTCTTTGAGATGGTCTCCCTGTAGTCCCCGCTGACCTGAACTCACTATGTAGACCAGGCTGGCCTTGAACGAACAAGGATCCGCCTGGGTCTCCTTGTAGCTCCAGCTGGTCTGCAACTCACTCTGTAGACCAGGCTGACCTTGAACTCAACAGAGATCCACCTGCTTTTGTGCTGGGATTAAAGGTGTGCACCACCATGCCCAGCTTAGTCCATTACTTTTAATTCTACCTCAGTCAAGTTTTCAGTACATGGCCACAATGCAGCAGCTTCTTTGTAGTATAAATGGCCACCAGCCCAGTTCCCAGTGGAATTGTCATTCCCCTCTGAAGCTTCCTGAGCTTCTGCTGTTGGTGTTTCTCTCACATTCTGGTCTTCTAGACTCTCACCAATAATGTATTAAGCCCTTCTCCACTTTCTCAGTGTCCTCTACCTCAGAGCTCCAGAGGCTTCCACATTCCTCCCCAGAACCAGATGAAAGGCCTGCATGTCCCATGGTCAGCTTCTTCCTAGCAGTACCCTGCCTCTTAGTACCAGTCCCTTTCTCATTGCTGAGACGAAATACCTGATAAAATCCCCACAAGGGGCTGGGTGTGGCAGCATAGGCCTGTGACCCCATATCCAGGAGGCAGAGGAGGAGGGCAGCAGTAAGTTCAAGGCCAGTTGGTTTACATAACAAGTTTCATATCAGCCAAGGATACATAGTGAGACCCTGCCTCCAAAAGACAAATAAAAAAGGGCAAATATGCAGGGCGTGGTGGTGCATGCCTTTAATCCCAGTACTTGGGAGGCAGAGGCAGGCAGATCTCTGTGAGTTCAAGGCCAGCCTGGTCTACATAGTGAGTTCCATGACAGCTGGGGCTACAGGGAGACCCTGTCTCAAAAAGACACCCCCCCCCAAAAAAAGGCAAATAAGGAAAGAAGGACTTATTTTGGCTTATGTTTAAGGGTATTGCATCCATCATGCAGGGAAACCAGTGCAGCAGTGGTGTGAAGTGACTGCTCACACTGTTCATATCATAGTCAGCTTTCTCTGACCTTTTTATTCAGTTTTGGACTCCAGCCCATGGGATAAAGCTCCCACATTCAGCCCCTGTCTTATCTTCTCAGTTATTCCTCTCTCAAAACATGCTTACAAACACACCCAGAGATGAGGCCTCCCTCCTCTCCCAGGTGTTTCTTTATAATAAACATATGTATATATAATATTTGTATTTGAAAATTTCACACAGGCATAAAATGTATTTTGATCATATTCACCCCTAACTCCTCCCAGATCTGCCCTCAGCTCCTTCCCAACTTCATCCTTTTTAATTGCTCAGTGATTCGAGCTAGTGCTGTCCATATATGTCCATATATGCATGGGTGTGGGGCCATCCACTGAAGCATGGTTGACCTACCAAGTGGTACCCCTGAAGAAAACTGACTGTCCCTTCCCCTGTAGCATCACCTGTCAGCTCCTCAGCTAGGTGTGGGGGCTCATAACCCCCTACCTCTCCCTAGGCATTTCTTTTCATTTTTTCAATTCTTAAAACATTTTTAGTTTTATTTAGTTTTACTTTATGTGTGTAAGTGTTTTGCCTGCATGTATATAAGTATACCCATGTGTGCAATGCCCATGAAGGCCAGAAGACGATGTCAGAACCCCTGGAACTGGAGTTTCGGATGGTTGTTAGTCACCATGTGATGCTGGGAACCAAATCTGGGTCTTCTGCAAGAGCAGCCAGTGTTCTTAACTACTGAGCCATCTCACCAGCCCCCTTTTGTCAATCTTTTGGGGTTCTTTTTGAGACAGGGTCTCCCTGTAGCCCCAGCTGGCCTGGAACTCACTATGTAGACCAGGCTGGCCTTGAACTCACAGAGATCTGCCTGCCTCTGCCACCTGAGTGCTGGGACTAAAGGTGTGAACTACCATGCCCAGCATCCTTTTGTCAATTTTTTAAAAATTCATTTGTATTATTTCTTTTTAATTTGTTTTTATTAAATTTTGTTGTATTTCATGCAGAATATTTCAGTCTGAATCATTTTTATAGCCCCGTCAGACCCCTCTCAGCCCCCCACTGGAATCCATATACTCTGTCCTGGGTGTTAAGGCCCACTGTCAAGTCAGTGACCCCAGAAGTTCCCCAGTGCAAGTCCAACCACTAGTCTAGTCAGGTCCCTCTCATCTATTTAAACACCTATCATTTTCTTTTTTTTAACAGAGCATAGGGTGGGGGTTTATTTACAGAGGAGTGGGTGCTCCCCATTTACAGCTGCACTGGAAAGTCCACACACAAATATAGATCCTGTGACTTCCCAACAGGCGCAGAAAATGGTGAGACAGGTGCCTCCTGGCATTCTTCGCTTATATATCCTTAGCCCCTCCCCCACATGCAACTAAAGTCGACTGATTGGGTGGAAGGAGATAACTGACTCCTCCCTCGACTCATGGATGAGCGTGTGACTCAGAAGGAGGTGTGACTATAGCTTGCCAGCATAGTGGTCAGAGGACATTTCCAGTTAACACTCCACCCCTTCCTCTGGCTCTTATATTCTTTCCACCAACCTCTTCCCCAAAAGCCCCTGAGCCTTGGAGGGGGTGATAGGTGTGGGATGATCTTCCTCCTATTGTGGTAAGGCACTGAACTTTCGGGTCTCTGCATCATTTGTTTTTTCTATGAGCTGTTGGCCAATTTCAGTGGGATTCCATCTACTATAAAAATACAAACAGCAAGCCAGGGGTGGTAGCACATGCCTGTAGTCCCAGCACTTGGGAGGCAGAGTCAGGCAGATCTCTGTGAGCTTGAGGCCAGTCTGGTTTCCATAGCAAATCCAGGCCAGCTGGGGCTACAGGGAGACCTTGTCTCAAAAAACAACAACAAAAAAAAAAAAGAAAAAAAAGCCCCACCACAATACAGCAAGAAGCAAGAACATCTAAACAGCAGCTGCTATAATAACTTAACCTACGGGTGTCAGCACAAATGCTTGGATGGTATTTAGCAGGTGCTTCACATCCATCTAACAAAACAGTTGCAGTGGCTTCCCACTGGGGCCTATATTCTCCCCTGCCACAGGGGGTTGGCCTGGTTGATAGACCCAGACTCAGAAAAGGCTAAAAATTTTTTTTTTATTTTTTATTTTATTTTATGTGTATGTGTGTACTGCCTGCATGTAGGTAAGTGCACCCATGTCGTGCAGTGCCTGCGGAGGACAGAAGAGACTGTTGGTTCCCCTGGAACTTCAGTTATGGACAATTTTTAGTGACCATGTGGGTGCTAGGATTCAAACCCAGGTCTTCTGCAAGAACAGTCAGTGTTCTTAACTGCTGAGCCATCTCTCCAGCCCCCCATTTGTATTATTTTTAACTATATGTTTGTGCATGTCTGTGTGTGGGTGTGTCCATGTGTATGTGGCACTTAGTTAACAATTGAAATTGGCTGTCACAGCATCCCACAGCTCCACTCTAACAAGCTGGCCCTTATTTACATCAGTTTTGCCCAACACTCCTCTTGGCATTTGCTTGCACAGTTCTTTTGTTTTTGTTTTTAGCTGTTTTAAGACAGGGTCTCTCTTTGTGGAGTTCACTGTGTAGCCACAAACTGGCCTCAAACTCATGGCAGGTGCTGAATGTCCCCTGACATGAGTATCATTGTAAAAGGCACCTTGACTTGCATAGTACCCTGATGCAGACACTATAGGAAGGGCAAAGCCTTTTGGTTTTTGGTGTTTGGGTGGGTTTGTTTATTTGTTTTGTTTTGAGATAGGGTTTTACGTAGCCCAGGTATTTTAGTTTCTTTCTTAATTGCTGTGATAAAAACACTGATCAAAACCAACATGGGGAGGAAAGGGGTTTATTTTATCTTACATCTCCCAGGTCACAGTTCAGGTCTCAGCTGCATAGTAAGTTTAGAGGCCAGCCTGGGCTACATGAGACCCTGCCTTGTTTTTAAAAAAAAAAAGCCGGGCAGGGCGTGGCGGTCCACGCCTTTAATCCCAGCACCTGGGAGACAGAGGCAGACAGATCTCTGAGTTCAAGGCCAGCCTGGTCTACATAGTGAGTTCCAGGACAGCTGGGGCTATAGGGAGACCCTGTCTCAAAAGACCAAAAAAAAAAAAAAAAAATGTAGGCAAAAATCAGTTTAGAGAATTCTAGAAAACCTTTCTTTTTTCTTTTTCCTTTTTTTTTTTGTCTTTTTGAGTCAGAGTCTCCCCGTAGCCCCAGCAGTCCTAGAACTCATTATGATCCACCCCAGCTGGCCTCAAACTCTCAAAGATTTGCCTGCCTCTGCCTCCCAAGTGCTGGGATAAAAGGCATGCACCACCATGCCTGGCAAAAACCTTTCATTTTTATTTACTTATTTGAGTTTTCTGTTGTTTCCTGGGTTTTTGTTGTTGTTGCTGCTGCTGCTGTTTACTTTTGTGGGTGTTTCGTTTTGTTGAGAACTATGTAGCCCAGACTGGTCGAAAACTCAGTCTTGTCTCAGCCTCCCAAGTGCTGGGATTATGTGGCATTTCACTATGGCTAACTCGTTTTAATTTTTTTAGCTTAAAATTTTATTTATTTATTTTCTGTGTATGAGTGTATTGCCTGCATGTATGTAGATGCACCCATGTCGTGAAATACCTGTGGAGGGTGTCATCCCCTAGAACTGGAGTTATGGATGATTGTTAGCTGCCATGTAGGTGCTAGGAACCAAACCCAGGTCCTCTGCAAGAGCAGCCAGTGCTCTTAACTGCTGAGCCATCTCTCCAGATCCTCCACCTCTTTTTTTTTTTTTTTTTTTTTTTTTGAGATAGGGTCTCACTATGTACCCCTGGCTGGCCTGGAACTTGTAATTCGCCTACTTCTGCCTCCCAAGTATGTTACTACGCTTGACTTTCTTAAGTCATCTGAGTCTTTCAGTACAGACATGATGGTGCATCCTGTCATCCTAACACTCTAGGAGGCAGAGGCAAGTGGATCACTGCAGGTTTGCGGTCAGCCTGACCTACTTAGTGAGTTAATTCCAAGCTAGACTGGGCCCCTCAGAGGAAGACCCTGTATTAAGTCTTTCTTGGCCGGGCAAGGTGGCGGATGCCTTTTATCCCAGCACTCAGGAGGCAGAGGCAGGTGGATCTCTGCTCTCCTGGTCCTGATCCTCACATATGAGAGCACTGCCACTTTGCATGGACATGAATGCAGCTAGCAAATGCCTGAGGGGAGAGGGCAGGAGTGAGCCTAGTGGCTCCTCAGTTCCACATCAGTGCTCTCATTTCATAGGGCTCTTTAAGGGGAGAAGTCTGCTATGTGGTCACACAACTGGAGACTTGAAATCCTTGGTGGAAGACAGGGATTTTATTTCGTGCAAAGGGCTACATGCATGCCAGAGTATGTATATGAAGGTCAGAGGACAACTTGCAGGAGTTGGTTCTCTCCTCCCAGCATATGGGTCCCATGGCTTGAACTCAGGGTGTCAGGAGTGGTGGCAGGTCGTTTACCCACTGAGCCACCTTGCCAGCCCACCTCAAGTATTTTTGATTACTTTTTTCATTCCTATCCTTTTACCTCTCTTAGCACATGAAGAAACCCAAGCGACTTTCTTCTTTTTTTCTGCAGGCAAACCAGAGCCCTTGGTGTTCCACATTCCTCAGTCCTTTTTTGATGCCCTGCAACAGAGAATATCTATAGGAAGTGCGAAAAAGCGGCTCCCAAACTCCACCACAGGTACAGGGGCTCCTTGAAAACAGCAGTAATTCTTGGCACCTTAGAGAACTATGTCTGAAAAAAGTCTGTGTGGAACCTTTCAGGGTTAGGGCTTCCAGCATGTGTTTGGAGCACAAAGCCTGAGGTAATTAGTTCTTGGGTAAGTGACTGCCCCCTTCCAAGGCAGATACTTACTTCAGTAAGAGTAAATGGAGCCGGGCATGATGGCAAACACCTTTGGTCCTAGCACTCTGGAGGCAAGTCAGGTGGATCTCTGTGAGATTGAGGCCAGCCTGGATTCCAGGCTGTGAGTTCCAGGCCAACTGGGGCTACAGGGAAACCCTGTCTCAAACGAAGCAGACAAACAGTGAATGGAAACATTCAGAAAATCTAAGCATGGTAAATCACCAACACAGAGCTCTCTAGGTATGGTACAGTTTCCACAAAAGAATTGCAAGCCCCAGCCATTTGGCAGGGAGTATATTGTAGTGCATATCAAAACTTTCAGGAACATCAGTATATATACAGATCATCAGTATGCAAATGGACCTCAATTCCCTTCTGTCAGCAAAGCCTTCATTGGTGGTTGCTACATAGAAAGCAGATTGGCCAAGACATGATTGCTCACCAGCATCTTTAAGGGCATTTGAGTCAGACTGACAGAAATCCAGAGGGAAGCTTTGATCTGGAGGAAACATTTCCAGTAGCACACAGAGAACATAACTATTTGGTAAATGCTGTTAGAGAAGCTTCTCCAATAAGATTGATCAAAACAAAAGGTGTTTAGGAAGTTTATATAGGAAAAACACCAGCAACAAAAAATTTAAAACCTTGTATTACTTCTCATTGCTGTGACAAAACACCCTGACAAAGGTAACTTATGGGAGAAAGGATATATTTTGATGTAGAGCTTGCAGGTGTAGTCGATCCTGATGAGGAAGTCATGGTGGCAAGAGGAGGCAGCTGTTCATACTAATCCATATCAGAAGGCAGAGAGAGATTAATGCTGGTCCTCAGTTTGCTTTATCCTTTTTAGACAGTGCAGGATCTCAACCCGTAGAAGGGTGCCACCCACATTTAGGTGTGGTCTTCCCACCTCAGTGAACCTAATCTAGAAACTCCCTGAAAAATGTGCCCATGGTGGGATTTGTTTCCATGGTGGTTGTAAATCCCATCAAGTTGATAGTATTAACTTCACAAGTCTACTCCTTGTCAACCTGCACCAGAGCAGATCACTGTAAACCAGTCCACCTCTGTCTCCCATAGGATGCAAGATGCATTCAGTTCAACATCAGAAATCCCCGTAGTTCTAATAGTTCTAACACTACTTATTTTGTTTTATTTTTGACACAGGGTCTCACTATGTATTCCTGACTGCTTTGGATCTCTCAGGCCGACCTCAAACAACCTCAAACTCACATTGATCCTTCTGCCTCTGCCTCCTAAGTGCTAAAAGGCAAGCACCACCACACCTGAGACTCCCAACATTGTTTGAAAGAGTAAGCCTCACCTAAGACTCAGATTGGTATTTTAACTGTGAGCACCTATAAAATAAAAAAACAAGGGACTGGAGAGATGGCTCATCAGTTAAGAGCACTGGCTGTTCTTGAGGACCTGGGTTTGGTTTTCAGCACCCACATGGCAGTTAATAACCATCTTACCTCCAGTTCCAGGGGATCTGATGCCCTCTTCTGACCTCTATGGGTGTTGCACAACATGGGTTGGGTGCATTTACATACATACAAGCAATACACTCGTACACATAAAATAAAGATTATAAATAAAATATTAAAATAGGGCTGGAGTGATGGCTCAGTGGTTAAGCACACTGGCTGCTTTTGTAGAGGACCCAAGTTTGAATCCCAGCACCCACATGGTGGCTAAAAGCTGTCCAGAATTCCAGCTCTAGGAGATCTGATACCCTCTTCTGACCTCTGCGGGCATTGTACAACACAGATGCACTTACATACATGCAGGCAATACACTCATATACATAAAATAATAAAATATTTTTTAAAATATTAAAATAAAAATGTTATATCCACTATACAAAATGGTATAGAATAAATATCCCTGTTCCCAAATGGAGGAATTAGAGTATAGCAAGGAATGATTGGACCAAAGCAAGATCAAAATCTTGCAGGGAAAAACCAAATCCTCTTGGATCCATGTTAGGTATCTAAGGCTCACAGTAGAATCACCTGGGTTCCAAAGGTCTGGAGAGCCCTGCCCCTTCAGCTTTGTTACCTGAGTACACATAGTGTCTCTCTCAGGCCAGCCCCACTCCATGCCAGCAGCTTTCCTCAGCAGATGTCCCATGGTTCTGGTATCTCCAATACCCTGGGGTCTCCATTACAACTTAGTCTTTACCTTCACACAGTGGCCTCTCAGGAACACCAGCCATGCCACACATCGCCTGACCTCTGGGTCTCTGGAACCATGGCACAAGACTATTCAATCTTGCATCTTTCTTTTCATTAAAGATTTTTTTTTTTTTTGGTCTTTTTTGAGACATTGTCTCCCTGTAGCCCCAGCTGTCCTGGAACTCACTAGGTAGACCAAGCTCGCCTCAAACTCACAGAGATCTGCCTGCCTCTGCCTCCCAAGTGCTGGAATCAAAGGTGTGTGCCACCATGCCCAGCATTTTTCATTAAAGATTTTATTTTTATTTTACGCTTACATTTACCTGTATAATATGTAAGTGCACCATGTGCATACCTAGTGCCTGCAGAGGCCAGAAGAAGGAGTTGAATCCCCTGGAACTGGAGTTAAGGTCAGGTGTTAGCTGCTATGTAGGTGCTGGGAACCAAATCTGGAAGAGCAGTCAGTGCTGTTGCTCTTAACCACCAAGTCATTGATCCAGCTTCCAAGATTTATTTATTTATTTTATGTGTATGGGTGTTTTGCCTGCATGTAAGTATGTGTACCACATGCATACAATGCCTTAGGAGGCCAGAAGAAGGTGTCAGATCCCATGGAACTGGAATTAACAGATAATTATAAACTGCCATGTAGGTGTTGGGAACTGAACCTGGGTTTAAGAGCAGCCAGTGCTCTTAACTGCTGAGTCATCTCTCCAGCCCCCTCAAATCTTGCATCTTTAATGTCTGTAAAACAATACCACAGAGACAGTATTGCCAGTTCAGAATGGAACCTGGTCCTCCTTGACCACAGTTGTAATGGCTTCTGTGTGCTGACTCCAGAGTGTGCAGACATTTGAGGGATTCCTTTCAGTGGCATTCTTAGTTTAGGCTCTCTCTACTGAATTTACATTTTTACAGAATGGAGGCTTTGATGGGTGGGTCTTGCCCTCAGGATACCTTTCCTGTTGTTCCATTTCAGAGCCATGTTTCTTTTTAATGGTGCTAATCTCTCTAACAATTACAGCTGCTTTCAAACATGCCTCATGTACAACATCATTATTTTTTTTAATTTATGTGTATGAGGGTTTTGCCTGTATGGATGTAAGCCCAGCATGTGTGTGCAATGCCCATGGAGGCCAGAAGGTGTTAGAGCCCCTGGAACTGGAGTTATAGAGGGTTGTTAGCCTCCATGTGGGTGCTGGGGACAGAACCCAGGTCCTCTGGAAGAACAGCCCAGTGTTCTTAACTGTTGGGTTATCTCTCCATCCTGTTGCCTGTAATTTTTTTTTTTAATTTTTATTTTATGTGAGTTTTATGCCTACATGTATGTAAGTATACCCATATCATGGCCTGCAGAGGACAGAAGAGGCTGTTGGATCCCCTGGAACTGGAGTAACAGACAGTTGTTAGCTGCCATGTGGGTGCTGGGAATCAAATCCAAGTCTTCTGCAAGAACGGTCAGTGTTCTTAACCGCTGAGCCATCTCTCCAGCCCCTCTCCTCTGTAATTTTAAACTTGATCACACTCTACCTTTCCAAACTGCACATCTAGGCTGGGTATGGTGGCATATACCTTTGGTCCCAAACTTGGGAGGCAGAGGCAAGGTGGATCTCTGTGATTCCAGGCCAGCCCGGTCTACATAGTGAGTTTCAGGCCAGCTGGGGCTACAGGGAGACCTTGTCTCAAAAAAGATTGAAAAATTAAAATTAAAAAAAATAAAACAAAAAACCAAACTGCACATCTTTCATATCTTCCTGTTCCTTTTTTTTTTTGGTCTTTTAAAAAAATATATTTATTATTTTTATGTGTATAGTCTATTGCCTGCATGTATGTGAGTGCTCCCATGCTGTGCAATGCCATGGAGGTCAGAAGAGGGCTTTGGATTCCCTTGGAACTGGAGTTAAGGATGGTTCATAGCCACCATATGGGTGCTGGGAATCAAACCTGGGTCCTCCGCAAGAGCGGTCATTGCTCTTAACTGCTGAGCCATCTCTCCAGCCCTTCTTTTGGTCTTTTTGAGACAGGGTCTCCCTGTAACCCCAGCTGGCCTGGAACTTACTATGTAGACAGGCTGGCCTCGAACTCACAGAAATCTGCCTGCCTCTGCTTCCCAAGTCCTGGAATTAAGGTGTATGCCACCATCCTGCTCCATTTATTACTTTCATTGTGGACCTGAATAAGGAGTGAGCAGTAGCCATGACACAGCTCAAATGCTATTTCATGCTGAGATTTCCTCTGCCAAATCATAGTCTGTTCCTTTTGAATATAATCTCACTCAATTCTCAGGACACAGGCAAAATGCAGCCAGTTTCTTTGGCAGAATATAACATAAATGAGCACTAAGTTCGACTGTGTGTGTATGAATGAGTCTTTGGTCTGCATGTACATAAGTACACTACGTGCATGCAATGCCCACTGAGGCCAGAAGGTGTCGGGTCCCTTGGAACTGGAATTAGGGACGGTTGTTAGCTACACTTTAGGTACTGGGAACTGAACCTGGGTCCTCTGGAATAGCAGCAAGTATACTTAACTGCTGAGCCATCTCTCCAGCCCCAACTAGCCAAGTTCTTCAGAGTCCTTGTTCTCTAAAGCCACATGAGCCAGGCCCCTCTCAACACTCTGGTCTGCAAAGCTCCCATCAGAATGGGCTCTGAACTC